GTGCAGACACGTTGTGGGTTCAAATATTAAACAATGCCGCCATGTTGAAAAAAAAACCCAAGTATGTAAAATGCATATGTTTCGTGCAATGTTTACTGTTTTGATCGATGGACAATATACCTAGTTTTCCCGTAGACAAGACACAAGAAAGTCACTTCAACACCGTTGTTTGAAGCAGCTAATATTGGCCTTAAAAGTTGTGCCGTCTCCATTATTCCAGTAAAGTAGTATGTAACGGTGCAACACAACATCTAAAACGGCCTTTCTCAAGGCCACCAACGATCCGTACCGAATAGTAAACGCAACTACCGAAAAACCACTAACAAAACATCGGCCAATGGGATTGCGGGGTTTTTACGAAAACAGCATAAATACCGACCGCAATCCCATAATCAGTACAGTCTTCTTCCAACCATCCGGGTATCATTATACACTGGATCAATTGGAAGCCGACACCTCTACGATCAACCGCCAGCGTCTCAACACTTCAGCAGTAGCAAGCAACACCAGCAATAGCCACACCGACCACAGCGGAACCGACAGAAGCGGTACCCGCAGCAGACGTGCCGACGAAGCCCACGGCTCCACCGACGATTCCACATAGAAAACCGTTCTTCTTAAAATACAGAGTCACTTATTAAAGTTGCGCTCTCCTCCCGGTGACTAGAGTCCGTAGGCGCTTATTCAAGCTGCCCTACCTTCCTCCTAGTCATCCCAACACATCCCCCACACTTCTGTATCCCCGGTAGGACAATATAGTACTATAACTGTGAGGTACATAGTGCCCGTTTCCCCAGCGTGAGAGGCGAACTTATGCGAGTCCCGCCCTCACCGTTACTTATTGTAGTACCTAAAACCTCTGAATAATAAAGAACAACCGTAATATCAAGCATCCGTTTTATTATTCAACACACGACACGGCGAGGCACCCGCCACCCGTATCAAGTACTATCTAGCTTTAAATGATGCAATTACGCTTTTAATAAGATTTGTTGACATTAAAAAAAAATTTTTTTAGTATCAAGTATTTAAGAGGAAAAATTGGATTTAATATTATATTTTCCGTTACCTACTTTACACATAAAAATGAAAATGTTCAGTGTTTTAATATCATTTATCTTGGTAAATGTTTTGGCTGATGTTCTGCTGATTTCCATATACATTATGATTTTATTTAAAACTTTTTTTACTGCTAAATAATTATATTTGTTTATTCTAGATGGGTTGGAAAATGTAATTAAAACAATGGTTTGTCACGAAGTTATAATGGGTAGTATTAAATTAATTGTACGCATATATTTTCAGCGTTTACTTTTGTCTTCTATTATATAATAGAGCAGAAAATTAAATCCGATATCATTAATTTAGGTTTTGTTTATTTCAGACCAATTAAATTTGATGTTCGCTGTACCGGGTAATAATTTTTATTGCATTTTATGGAAATACTTCAACATATTTTGTTTGATATTCGTAACTACATTTTTATTTATAAAATAAAGCTAAATAAAAGTGATCAAATTGAATAAAATCACTTTCAAATAAACGCTTTTATGCTTATTTGTAAATACAGCATCTCAATTTACTATTTTTACTAACTTTGCTGGCTTACACTGTGCTTAGTTTAGATTGTACTGACTTGAAAATACTAACTACTGATTTGCATAGAAGCGTTTTTTCGAAAGTGATTTTATCACTTTCAGATTTAAAAATTCTTGTAAACCTGTGACCTCCCCGTCCCCACTATTCCCCGACCCCACTGTAATGATTCTTTTCTTATTATTAATTGATTTATATTAAAATGTACACAAAATACCATAATATAACAAATTTGAGGCCCTTTCATCAGCTCCAGGTCCTAGCCTCGATGTGGAATGTGCTAGCCCTCCAATCGAGGTCAGAGCCCGTCGTTTAGCTGGTAAATTTCTTTTGAAATGTATCTCCTCTCTTTCTTCCTTTTTATTTCAAACTTTTAAATCAGTCCATCAATCTTGGAGATTTGTCCCCAAATCTTTGCCGATCCTTTCTTCTCTCTTTGCCCCATTTCTCAGTATATTCATTCTTCCTATAGCCGCCTTTCTTTAAATGACTAACCTTATATCCTCCCCCATTATTCACATCCTTCCACAGTTTCTTGGTTTCTCTTCCTCTAATCTCGCATCCTTGCCTTCGTCTGTTGTAAATAATCTCTTTACACACTACATGCGCACCAACTTCCCCGATTTCCACCTAATGTTTACTGACTGGTCTGTCTCGACCTCTAAGTCGGGATGCGCCTACGTTATTCCCAGTCTTAGTGTATCTTTCTCCACCAACTTATTTCCATCTTCTTCCTCTTTTACTGCGGAATGTACTGCCATTCTTTACGCGCTCCTCTTTATAATTTCTTCACAAGAAAATCGCTTCCTTATCTGTTCTGATTCCCAATCGAGTCTTCTAGCTCTAACTACTAATCCTTTCCTAATAAACAATTTGAGCAATTATATGTATTGTTCCTATTCTATCAGCGCTGCAACATGTTGTCAAGTTGTTAACAATAATTTTCTGTCGCGAGTTCAGTCACAAGTTTCGCGCACGCGTCCTACGCGAACAGTTATATAAATCTTATTATTATCTTGTATTTTTATTTTATCATGGTTTATTCTTTTGTACTCAGTTGACACCACTGAACTCAATACATGGAACGCGTATTGCCTATAGTCGGCTGCTTATGAAAGTGTACGCAGGTCGGAGGCGGCCATGTTGTGTACCGTTATTGATCTGTCAGTGATATTTCTTATTTTTTTTATGATTTATCAAATGATTATGACGTTATGATCCAGGTGGTGGCCATATGATAATATGTTGTAACGCATCAGTACTGCGTTCTGGCGGTCTCATGTAGCGTTAGCCCGCGTAACTGGCCAGGAGCTTTATAGATGGTAGCCCGCGTAACTGGCCAGGAGCTTCATAGATGGCGCCGCATCCCGAGTCGGCTGAACCAACCGCCGGTGACGCCAAAGAAACTTGGGTTTGTACGGCATATGGCGTGTTTCCCCTAAAAATCAGCCACTCAACCCCACTTCGCGAAGATACCCATTCCCAGATTACCCCACCCCTCCCGACGGCAATCGTGTATGACTCACAATATCATGTACACATATTAGCGTTACTATACAGTTTGTGTCCAGTGAATGGGCATAAATACTAATAATGAGTCATACCGGTTGATCACCTTCAGTTAGGCCAATAGTATCTTATACTAGGGAAGGTAAACGTTACCGTCTATTAAAGGGAAAACGTTACTATATTGAAGTGCTATAGGTCGACATACAGTGTTACCATATTACTAATAATTTATTATTGTACATCGATTTTAATGGTTTAATTTGTTACAGTTTAATATAGTCGTACTTAATCAGTAAATAATATCACATATTACATTATTTTTCTCATGTTATAATATGCTGCTATCTAGTTTATTGTTTTCAACTAAAGGTTGCAGGATTGCCGCCGTAAAACTATAGTTGAATCATATCAAAGTATAAGCTAGTATTGGCAATGGCCTCTCCTTATATTATTTACTCTATGTTATGACCATTATGATATCATCACTTAACCTAACATTTTAATACGTACCATGGAAAAGTGACGTAGCATTTTTACTTTCTATGAAATTAGTACACAAAATGGCTGCTATTGATAATTATTTATTATCAATAGCTTATATTATAATAGCTTTGTTCCAGCATTTGAGTTGAAAACAAGTTATCATTGATAGCAACATATTATTCTGAACGCGCATGCGCCTAAAAAGACAAGTTTGCAATTACAATCCCCTGGAACAGTTTTCGGCGTTTGTGGTTGTTACCATTAGCCATGATGTAACTTATATTAACCAAGGCTTTTGCTTTTGCACTTACCGCCAAAATAACATCAATTTTGTTTTAATAACTATTGAATAAATATCAATAGCAGCCATTTTGTGTACTAATTTCATAGAAAGTAAAAATGCTACGTCACTTGTCCATGACAAGTATAAACATTTTAGGTTAGGTATCGATAACACCGTCATATCACAAACTATTTTCATATAGACTACGGCCGTATATTTGATAAATCATAGTAATTTTAGGTCAGGTGATGATAACATAATGATCATAAAGTCATAAATTTTAATAAATCATGGAAACAATAATAAACATCACGGACAAATCAATAACGGTACACAAAATGGCCGCCTCCAACCAGGGTATACTTTTATAAGCAGCCGACTATAGGCAATACGCGTTCCATATGTTGAGTTCAGTTGTGTCAACTAAGTAAACAAGAATAAACCATGATAAAATAAAATATAAAAGATAATAATAAGATTTACACAACTGTTGGCGTTGTACGCGTGTATGAAACTTGTGACTGAACTCGCGACAGAAAATTATTGTTTACAACAACTTGACAACATGTTGTAGCGCAGATAGAACAGCAACAATGTTGTGAAATGTTTCCTATTTGCTTTGCTAGAACACGTCTTTAACTTTGCGCATGCACCGAAAGTTTACAACAATATGCTGGAACAATGCTAATATAAATGATAATACCTGAAGGGGTCGGTCTTTTTATTGGCTTACTTTTTCCACCCCCAACATCAGTGTAGCCATATATTGTGATACAATATATTCCTATGTAAAATTTCAATTTTCCGTATAGGCATCGTTTCAGAATATTGCTATTTCGATTACTTGATTCGGGAAACACTGTTATTAGGGGGGAAATCAATACAAATAACATTGACTTTCCAGGATTGTCATCTGTAGTATATGGTATTAGTCGCCACTCGCCCGTCGTCGATACTTGTTTATGCTTTCGGTTCCTTCGCGAAAAGTCGCCTAATATCACAGGAGCAATCGCTGTTAATTCTAGTCAAAGTCGAATAGCTTTAGTTGTGCCACGAGGGGATTTTGGGTGTTGGACGGAGACGCACCAGCGTATTGTTGAACAGCTAGATACGGAAAAATAAAATCGAGATGGGCGACACATCAAATGGAATGCAGTCCGGTTTGGTCACCGGGGAAATGGCCGACAGCATGTATAAAATGCTGATGACCACCGTACAAAATATACTAGAGGACAAATTTAGACTGAGGATGAACTTACATATCTTACAGCTAGTATACGATTTGGAGGTGTCACATCACGGCAACCGACTGTACAACGGCCTGAAGCAAACGGTGTCCGCGTATTTGGAGACTAAAGTGCAAGCGGACGTGCTCGACTCTTTAGACAAAAACTTTTTACAAACGCTGCAGCAATGTTGGACGAATCATCGGACAGCGATGAACATGATAGGACACGTATTCAATCACTTGGATAAAACGTACGTTTATGAGAAAAGGCTCGACATCGTGTACAACCTTGGACTGAAATTGTTTCGCGACATTGTGGTGCTCGACTATCGCGTTAAAAATCGTTTGCGCGAAACATTGTTGAGCTTGGTAATGCGTATAAGAAACGGCGAGGTCGTCGATAGGGAAGCGTTGAAGGGCGCGTGCCATATGCTCATGGAGTTGGGAATTCAACAACGGACGGTGTATGAAGAAGTTTTCGAACAACCTTTTCTCGCCCAGTCCGTCGAGTTCTATAAAGTCGAAAGCCGAAGGCTGCTGGCCGAAAGAAACAGCGCCACCATTTACATGAAACAAGCTAAAGCGCGCATCAGCAAGGAATTCGAGCTGGCTAAAAACTACTTGGACACCTACAGTGTCTACAACTCAACCGCATTCAAAATAAAATATGTGGTCGAACAAATTCTAATCCAGAAAAATAATATTTAATTATTTTTTTACAGAGGATTACAAGCAGCAAATTTATCTTACAAGTCAGTAACGTTTTTTCTTCTTCTTACAAATTAGCTTTTAAGTTATTACATACCTATTATACTAATATTTACCATTAGAATATTAAAATTTTTTTTTACACACACTAATATACAAAATTGTTTTAATTAATTGCCCAACTTACTTCTTACTTACTAATTGTCTTCTTACTCTTCTTCGTAGTAGTAATCAGCCCACAAGACAATGCTGACAAACATATACCCCGCCATATTTCCCTAATCTACATCTAATTTAGATTAGGAATATTGAGATAATTAATATATCTATACACTCGGCATTCGTTTTTTTAATAAAAAAATTATATACATTGCACAGTAATATTATCATTAGGATAATTACATTTTTTTTCATACACAATATTATACAAAATTGTTAAATAATTATTGCCTAATGTTTTTTTTAATAAACAGTTTTACTAGTGGTTCTAAATATAATTGTTGCCTATGTGTTTTTTTTCTAGCCTTCTCCTTTTTCCATTCCTTGGATTTAATGATTGGTTTAACATTGTACTGGGTTTATACTGCACTTGGTTTGGACTGTGCTGTTTTTAATTTTTTTAAGTTATCTACTAATAATCTTGATTCCAAATGACATAACTTTAAAAATAATACTTGGAAAACGCCAGTTTATGTAAGCTTATTTACTTTTTAAATCAAAACACAATAAATTTAAAAAGTAGCAGTTGAATTATAAACATTTCCTAAGATCTGCACGAAAAGCAAAATCACACTAAATTATAAATAACTAATAAACATCAGAAATATTTATCATTGTTGTTAAATAATTAAATAAATAAATTGGAAACAATAAAAATTGACATGAAATCATAATTATGCAAACAAATTGTTATAAAAGAGTAACAACAATTATGAGTTTATAAGAAACCCGAGCAAAAACAAATTCTGCAATAAACCGATTCGAGTGCTTGTCTTATAATTCATGTTTCATTTCTACAAGGACCGTCAAACTCTTCCACAACGAACAAAGAGTTCTACAACCCACATGGTAGAGGATAAGATAATATTTAAATAGGTTTGTTAAGACTCGAATACAACAGTGGCCGATTCTATGGTTGTAGCAGCAGTGGTTCATCTACAGGTGAAGAGGGTAATATGAAGTTGTCACTTCAACATAATAGGTACATATTAACTAATGGACTTTGTAAAACAAAAATTAAATTCATTATGGAAATTGCCGAAAAAATACAATTACAATTTGAGTAAAATTATTAAAAAAAAAAAAAAACACACATATAATTCATTAACAAAGAAACAAAAAATGTCCAATAATAACGGAAATTTATAAAAAAAATTCTAATAATACATGTCGAAAAAATTTTACAGGTAAATTAGGTAAAATCAACTTCATATTGCACAAAAATACCAACTATTTTGGTTTTTATTTAACGTTAAATCGCTTAAAAGTTTAGCAGTTGCAATACTATCCTATTTGATTACAGTTATCCTACACCCTAGTCCCTATTCATACATAAACTCATAATAAAAATTAAAAATAAACTTAAGAAGCCTCTCAACTCCGTATCATAGCTAAAAAAATTGCAACGTTTCATTCTATGGAAAAAGACTTAAAGCATACATCACATTTGAATAGGGATTTTCACCAGGGTGGTTTGCTAGGATTATTTTTAGAGAAAAATACCTTTAGCACTTAACCCACTTAAAAGGCTTTTCACCACACGTTTGTGTTTTGTGAGGTTGGACTCAGAAGAAAACTCCTTGAAACACATACTACATGTGTAGGGTCCTTCAGTACACTTATTGTGAAGAAGAATATTGCTTTGTTGGTGCGAATGTTTAACAGTTGAACTTTTGTGGGACTTTGTTATATGTAAAGCTATTTTTTGTTTGGTGTTATACCACTTTTGACATAAAGCACATTGAAATGACAGCCGTTGTGAGTTATTGGTATCGGTTTCCATCTCTTTGACGTGTTCGTTAGCTTCATTTCTCGTACCATTGCAACTAAAACAAGACATTGTTGGATAAACATTAATGCTTGAAAACATGCATTATTGTTCTTACAATTTTACATTATCAATATTATTACAATAACTCAGTAAACATTTTTTTTTTGTTTATCATATAATTTAATTTCCCCTTTAAACTCTTCCTCCGTCTGTAGTGCTCGTGCCGACAGAAAAAGTGTTGAAACATTGTGTTATTATAATAGTAATAATATGTATTTTTAAAATCACATTACTTGGATGTATTCCCATCTATTGTTTCTCTATGAGCATTTTGTGCTTCAACATTCTCATTTTCTTCATGTATATCATTCACGGTCCCACGGTTATCGTCATCTGATTCAACTTCAACTTTTGCTTCTGTAACTCTAAAACATAAAATACATTTTATAAAAATATAATAATAATTTAAAGGGCTCAATAAAACAATGGAAATATATTTAATCCTAACATAGCTCATTATTATCGCTGTTGTTGGTTATTTGACAGATATGATATGAATTAGTTTTCAGTCAATTAGGATGGAGTTGTTTTAAACACGGTAGTTTATAATTTTTTTATTTTGAGCTTAGTAAATGTACTGATTGCACAAAAAGTCCATCTTAGTAAATTGGAGTCATCCAGTTGAACATATTCAATCTATTCAATTTACGTAGATTTCAATAGACAAATTTTCAACAAAAAAAAAAAAATGTTAAATTTGTATAAGTACGTGAATGTTCTTATTTTTTTTTATTTTACCTTCTGCTTTCTTCTTCATAATCGAATGCAATCCTGCAACTAATGCAGCTAATTTTTAAAAAAAAATTAATTGTTGAAATGAGAATTATTGTTATTTTTTAACAGAATGTTTTATTATTTTAAAATATTTCAACTTAAAAACACATTAATTATATGCTTTCTCGTTTATTGTTTTTTGAGGATCGTTGTGAGTTGCCGGACACCAAACATCAAAATATTTTACAATGTTATTAGGTTTTAATATTTTATCTAATTGGTCATTATACACATGATTACAAGACATGTCGGATAATTATCACACTGCTGGATAACCAAAAGACGCCTGATTAGTAAGAATGTGATAATTAAGAACATTAAAAAAAAACAACTTTTGGTTTGGTATACATAGATTAATACACCTTAAGGAGGGTAGATCGCAAAAAATATGAAATTTTTAACATGTAGTTTATATTGACAACCAGATTTAATCTAAATAAAGTAACTGCAATTCGTTTATGTGTAATTTAGGTGTACACTAAAACCAAAGACAAATTTTATGCCACAGAAATGATTTATTACTTTGTTCCCAAGTGTTACATTCTTTTAATTTTTTAATTATGCTGTACTTTTTTACCAGAAGTTAATGTATGTAATATTAATAATATAGTTATTAGTCGTACTAAAACGTTGACGTTATCGTCAAATATGATGATATATTAATAATACATTGTTTTAAAAATGTAAATACGTAATGATTTTCTGATTCATAATAGTGACTAAAAAATAAAAGGATTTTAGGAGTGGCCACAATATTGTTATTTATTAATAACGTGTATTTAATTATATTACTTGTATGCATTTCCGCCGATTGTTTTTTGTTGCTTTTCCGACTCCTCATTTTTTTTCCGTAATTTAAATATAGTCTTGAAGAAATAATTGTTGGTTTGATCTATTTCAATTTTATTTATTGGCTGGTCTACTGCTTCATTAAGTCTGTAACACAGCAAATGTCTAAAATTAGGAGGAAAAACCAAACATTTTTTTTTAAGAAATCTAGAACAGACCAAACCAATTTATCAAAACATTTTCTAGCCAGGATGAAAATAAAAATTGTATTAAACTAAAACCGGACCGAACTAAGATAATGTACTTTTTTATAACGTGACAAAACCAACAATAAGCAAAACAACAAAGAATAATTATTATTAGGGTTTTTTAATTTTGCTATGGGTATTATAATTTATTTTGACTTGTGAATTTTTTAAATAAATATTTTGGTAACAGAAGTGCGACAGATGTATTTCATAGGTATGTATTACTAATTTGTTACATATATATATATATATATATAAGTATAAATTATACAACAATTTTACAAGGTATAAAAATTACATGTGTACAAAAAGAAAATAATTACTTTAAAAACAATATATTTTCAATAGGTTATTTTGATATGTACTATCATACATTTTTTTTTAGCAGTCCCGTAAATAATTTGTCAAGATTGGTTAAGAGTTACAAAATAATATTTTATTAGTGATTCCCAGTTCGAAAAAATAGTACTTTTTAATTTTGTGGATTGTTCTGGTCTCATTTTTTTAGTATCGGACATTTCTAGTCCTTACATGAACAAAAAAACATAGAAATGGTGTTACATTTGGTATCAAAAAATATTATTTTATCTATTTAAAATAAATTATAAACACTTAGTAATTACCCATGGAATGCCTACACATATCTTAATTACGCTTTTTTTATTTTTTATCAGTATGTATTTCAAGTATTTCAACTAAAATATCACATTACTTATTTGCAACCAAATCGGTTATTTTTTGACGATCCTTGTGGGTCGTCGAACAACTGTTGGTAAATGGCTCTTTTTTAACTTTATTTACTTCAACTCTTTTGATCACGGTCCTGTGGTTATCCATTTCAGTTAAGATTCTTACTGCTTAAACTGTAAATATCAAAGAACTTATGAATAAACTTTAAAAATTACTTTAGCCTGTGTTTGAACTCATTTAAATGAACCATGTATGAAGGCAGACTTTTTGGCAATATAGAGCCGAAAAAAAGAGCCTAGAAGTTTTACCAGAGAATCACATCCTTAATAGCAGTTTTACGCTCATCTCATAATAGGCGACTATGATTGCAATTTTAAAAGGTTTATTTAGTTATACATAGTAAAAAAAATGTATACTCATTTAAAAATAAAAACATAACAGTTCCTTATCATTTTTTTTCACAATAAAAATACTATTTTCAACTATTTTAAAAATTAATAATTTTTGTTAAGAAAATATACTTGGAAACATATAAATAATGACTGCCTAATAAAAGAAGCAACTCTAAAATAATAAATAAATAAGTGACAACATTATTAATAATTAAGCTATTGCTATTATGATAAATGTCATTTGATTCTTGCTGTCGCATCAATTGGACTTATACTCCTCTTCATAGTATATAAAGTTGAGAAATTGACTAGATTAGCAATAAAAAAAAAGATAATGCAATATAGATAGTTTAAAGAAGAACTATAGAACATTTTAAACAGTATATAGTTGTTATTAATACTAGGTAGTTGTAAACAGAACTCACAATTATTAATTATTACAATTGTTAAGACCTGTTATAGTCCCTAAAGCCGTTGATAGCACTTGTATTGAGTCCAGAATCCTCATCAAGCGCATAACGTATATATTACTAGATTCATTTGTGAAAATAAATAACAAATTAATGACAATATTATTCTGTGCTTACTGTAACACGACGAGTCCACTGGTCAGGACAGTTCTGATCCCTAGATCTAAGGCCTACCTAAATCAGACACAGTGTAATTTGATTTTTCTTTTAATATAACGATATAACTTTACAAAAACATCAGAGTAATAATTACTAACTACTCTAGATGAAAGCGTGAGACATAAAAACATAATATATTGTTATAATAAGTAATAACAAACATAAACAAACGCCATTATCAAGAATTGGCGTCTGTAAATTTTGAGTTGATAACAGTGGCAAACAGAGATGATAACAGTTATGAGGTGATAACAGCGGCGGCGGCCGGTGGAGGTAGACCGCAGCGAAGGTAAATATTGAAACGTTTAAGTAGGGCTTTTAAGAAAATAAAATTCATAGTACAGGTAATCACCAAAGTTCAAAATGTGATTATTTAATCTATGCAACTATAATGCGTTTAATATATATTATAACAATCTTAGAAATATCAAGCCTTCAACTGAAATCGAGCTACAAACTCCAGTCTATTAAAAACTTTTAGTTAGTTGCATATTCTTTATGGTATTTTTTTTTGTTCCAACCTTTTTACCAGAATTTAAGAAGTGAACATTTCCTACGAACTAACCAAATTGTGTCAAATTATTAATTAAGAAGGTGAAAGTTTGAATATTGTCTAATAATGTACTAAAGCATTAACAAAGATGTTTTCAAAAAGAAACACTACAAAATTTAAATTATTTTAAGAGTAAACCAGGTGTAGGGAGTAAAAAGAATCACCCGGTATTATAGTGAGTGGAATTTTACATAGTATATTATGAGTTTTCACATATATTTATTGGCTTTATACAGCTTCAAATGAGTAAAAAAATGAATCAATCAGAAATAATACTATCGTTGAAAAAAACATTATTATGGAGATTAGAGATGATTGTTAGGTTTGGAGTTTTTTTTTTTAAAAACATATTTTACCAGTTTTTTATTAAGTATTTACAGAATATTTTAACCCATTATAAGTACATATTACCATCCTATTTTAAACTTTTAAAAACCTAAAACTCTAGTTCTCTAGTATTTAAAACAAGAAAATATATATTTTAAAATAATTACCTCACACATAAATGGTCGTCAGATAAACAATTTGTGGCATGCGATTATGTGACATAGCTGTAAGTGTTTAGATCTTCCAGAGTGCGTGCTAAATATTCTTTTTCGATCAACCACTCGATTAGTCCGTTAATCAGTTTAGATGACGGCATGAATCGCGACCTCAACTGCTCGATGATTCCTATTATGAGCTTATTATACCGAAATAGCTATAATTCGTGAGTTGTGCACACCACGACTTTCCAAGAGATTAGACTGTACTCAAATGATATTACAGTATAGTAATAATAATAATAATAGTCAAAAACGTGGCACTCGATTATGATTGCTTGGCCGTCTTGCTTAGCAAAAATCGAATATTCCACGAGACCATTCGAAATTAGATACACTCCCTTGGCATTAACGTGCCTCGAAAACTAACGTCTGGGTCATTTCGTTGTATTGTGGTGTACAAGTATAAATGGTCTCTTAAGAGTTCAAACTCATATACGGTGAGTAGTTTCGCCACAAAATGGTCACTTGTTTAGTATTAAAATTGTACAAAAAAAAAACATTGGATATTATGTTATATGTTATCGCTTAAATGTTATCACATGTCTGTTGTCTCTGATCTCTAAACTCTTATCACTTTTCTCTTGACGGTTTCAGTCATGAAAAAGCTTTTTAAAAACAAGTGCAGTGATTGCTTGCTCGACAAGTGAAAAAAGATGTGCAATTTCTTTCTCTTCTAGAGGAAAGGGCTTATAATATTTGTTGAGTTTGTCAATGTTTATCTGTACAACTATGATAAAAGAATATCAAGTTTTTATTAGTAAGAATTTAAGTTAAAAAATATGCACATTTTTTGGATGTTTTTCTCAATTTTGAAGGGAAGGGGTGACTTTTTTAATTTGTTCCCCAACGAAGTTAATGTCAAACCTTTCGGGAATGAATTCTAATCAATAGAGTTGCTACATCAAGATATCGGTTTATTGATTAAAAAGATATCGTGAGTCCATTAAACAATAATAAAAATACAGCCCGCGTCGAAGCTAAAAAATTACTTTAATCATTACTCTGTCCAACACCTCTTCGTTCGTTGCTGTTTCTTTTAAATTCCAAGAGGTTTTTGTTTTAAATAGGTCATCAGGTTTTAGATTGCAAATGTTTTATACCTAAAAAATGTAGACAGGGCAAAGGAACGGTAGAGTATTATTTAAGAAGAAATCATCAAACATGATAAATGCTGCATCCAAAAGGGTTATCCTACGTGAAAGTTGCACATGAATTGGCGATATCTATTACGTTGTCTCATAAATCTCGACAAAAAAAATTGTATGCATATATAAATATATTCTTAAATCGCTTCGTGGGTAAGTCGTTATGGAGACAATTGACGTCGAAAACCATTTGCTCGCAAGACATGCTTGTTGACATTACATACCACATACGCTTTTCGTAAAAAGCGTATGCGAATTTCGCAAATATCGTTAGTGTTCACTGTTTGATAGACTGTTGACGTGCGCCTATACCTGTAAGATACGTACAACTTTTCATGTCTAGTAAACAGCTAACCGGATCTTTTGGTTCTTAGTAGTTCGTTTGGAGTCCGTTCGTGTAAGCCGTTCAATTGAAATTTTAAGCGAAAAAATAAATATGACAGCTCGATGCATTTTAAACGGTTTGGCGTTTCTCGCGCTGTGCAACAGTATGCTGCTATTCGATTCCACCGCCGCAGACCCTGTGCACCAGGTGACCAAACTTTTTAGTTATCCGATGTGGCTAGGTTTGAGTCCACTGGAAATCCTCGACGACAGTGGACAGTACCAAGGGATAGATGTGCTCGTATTACGGGTTACGGTAACGGTGACAAACGTAGACGTTAAAATCTTGCAAGCCCATCGCTTCCTCAGTTGTCAGTACACTATTGTCTATCTAACGTACGAAAAGTATTTGTACGCCCTTGGCAAAACATGCAACGGATTTTACAATTCTAGTAAACGGGTTTGTCTACAAACGTTTAAGCAGCTATTCGATCCGGAAATTTTAGTGTCGCGCATGCAAAGTGCACTATTCTTTTTGACTTCATTATCTCCGCAAACTGCGTTCGACGACGACGTTTTCAATTTGCTGACAAGGTTCGGCGCAGTGTATGAAAGACACTGGATATGAATATCCAATATAAATTCGAATACAAGATGGACGGTCTAAAAACGAGCGCTATTGAATTTTTCCAGAACCGCTGTGGTCCGGAGTCGCATTTAAAAGAACATGAAATTCGGCAGTTCCACGTACAGCTGGATCAAAGATATAATAAACGAAATGTATTGCGAAACGCAAAACATCGTCTACCAAGTTGAAAAAGTATACGGCCAACTACGCAATAGATGAGTTATTGTTATTGAATTACACTCTGCTAGGTTTCGAGTTCAACGCGCAATTAAACGCTACCGTACTGAACGGAAATCCTGACTCTGCAAAACGAGTTGTGCAAACAAACCGGTTGCTTACAAACACTGGCGGCTGGTCACGTCACTTGGGCGACTTGAGCATTAGGGTGGACTCTAGGGAATACGGCGTTAAAGACCTTTTGGCCACGCCAGTCGACGAGGCTAATGTAGACCGAAAAACCGTCACGTTTACGACTTGATGAGCTGTTATTACGTTGAAATACTAAAACAGTTACAGTCGTACACCAAGGCTATAGCACGATTCTTTGATTCGGGCAGCGCCAAAGACAAATTTGTCTTTCTCGAATCATTCGTGCAATCGGTCAAAAAGAGCTATCCGGTTATAGCGTACATGAAAGACGCCGTTTTCTATTTTCAACGGTTATCCCCTCAGACCTCGGACGTGCACTTCGCGAAAATCCTAACCTTCTACAAGAGTTATCTTGAAATACTAAATTTCTATGAGATAGACCTTCGTGTTGTAAAGGCGAATGTGATCGTGTATTTAGCCGACAAGTTACTTGAGCGAATGTCAATTGTCCTGGACAACTTGTTAAAAATTAAAAACCAACTCGACACATACAGTCAGACGTCTTGCGTAGTACCGTCCGAAAGCACACAGAAAGAGGTTCTCGAAAATTCGCGAGCAGCTATTGAGAATCGACTCGATGGAAAAATCGAATGGGTTTTAGACACTGTGATTCCGGAATTGGGGCTAACGTTTACAACGTTAGTATACCATGTTTTCAAGCCCGGTTACAACCAAGAAGTGCGAAAATTCGGGCTAAAACAATAACTGAAAAATATTTAATATAATAATTAATATTTACAATAATAAAATAAAATAATTCAATTCATTATAATCCAAGTGTAATATAATATTATTTAATTGAACACAATAAAATGATTTTACCATTAAATTCAACAATAATTTGAGTGTATTTATTTTTTATCATCGATGCTGAAATTTGAGAGGTATTGGTTTTGTCATAAATTGTTTTTTTTTTTTGTGTTGTAGCGCCTCCAAACATCCGAAGTCGTATGCGGTTGGTACTTTGGTCGGTCATAAAAGAAAAAAGACAACTCCTTTATCCTAAGAACCGAGAAAACCAGAAAAATATAACTGATTGGTAAAAAATTAAGTCACTGTATCAACAGCAGGTCATAGCAGTCATTGGGGTTTTCATGTTAAAATGTACATATTATTATTGTTCATTTAGTTAATACCAAGTAGTTCCATCTATAAAAAAAAAATAGAAAAATATTGCAAATGAAATAATTAAAGAAAGTGTTGTTGGGGAAATTTAATACATAGTTTATATTTGAATTTAAAAGTGTTTAGACAATTATATACATATATCAGTTTATTATTATTATTATTATTATTTTATTTTAAACATTACAATTTACACATACTATTTAAGTATAATGTAACTTTTTCTTACTAATCTGTTTCCGATGAATATATCGGTTCATAACAAACGGCACCGTGTAAATGGGCTGGATTAACATTTACTATTTATAATACATTATTTTTCTATTTACTGTAATCCAACATTGTCGAACCATCTTACATTCTAATTAGTCAGTTTTGTTGTGGTATTTTGCAACTTTGTTGCATTGTTCACCACATACGGTACATTCATCATCGCTGTCGAGGATTAAGGATGTATCTATAAAGTAAAATGTAAGTATATTTTTTTTTTATCGAGTATATTTAAAAACAATCACTCAAAAAAATACCTAAAATTATTCCTAATGTAAGTAGTAAAAAGTTAATGGCAAAATCAAATAATTCTTATAGAAAACTAACATCTACATAATATGCACACTACATAAAACGTAAAACACAATCTTATCACTAGAATAATTTTGAATTATTTTCATACTACACTTAAACAATAATTAAATAGGAAAAAAAACACAAGTAAAAACCGTCGGTATTCATTAGTTCAAAATCACAGGTTGATACATTTCAGGTAGAAATGTATCAACCTACAAACTTCTTTTTTACAAAACGATTATCTGAAACATAAACAATGCACAATTAATTTGGTTAAACAATTACAAAGGTTTGTGTTTAAAATAAAATTGTTTGCAATACTAGTGTGGCAAAAACAATGATTATCAGTCCAACAGTCCAATTAATTTAAATTTATATTAATGAATTAAAAATCTATTTAAAGCATTAATTTAAATTATTCCCCAATGTAAAAAAAATTGTAGATAAAAATGTATTATGCATATTGATGCAAATTAGGAGATTAGAGAATATTTTTATCTAGTTTGCATAATTTTCTGAAAAAATCATATTTTTTATTAATATATTGATATATTAATGAATTATTATTTATAATTGTATTATTTTAAGAGAGACTGTTTTTAAGTTACTACATTAAATTAAAAAACCAAAGATATAGTGAACAATAATAATATTATTTTTTTTTACGTTCAAGTATGTTGGCATTAGTTTGTAGTTTTTATTAAAAATGTTTTAGTATTTAGAGAGATTGCTCTTAATATTTAAATATAACATTTTAGTAATACCCTATTTCAAGAATAAAATATTTTTTAATTTGAATTTATTTTATCTCTCAAAGAAATAATATTGAATTATAATTTTTTTCTTTGTTCAAAATGTATTATTTGTTGTTTTAACTGAATAATTAAACATATTATATAGTATGTTTTTGTTACATTAATTTAGCTATTATAGTGGATTTTTACATGAAAATATATTTTAAGTTTATACATATATTTATTGGCTTTCTACAGCTTTAAAAGGGTAACAAATGTATCAATCAGAAATGATATTATTATCATTGAAAAAATATTATTATGGAGATAAGAAATGATTTTTAGGTTTTTTTTCTTTTTACCATATTTTACCAATTTTTTATTAAGTATTAACAGAATACTTTAAGACATTATTAGTGCCTATAATAATTTTAACTTTTTAAAACCTAAAATTCTGTTCTCTAGTATTTAAAACAAGAAAATATATATTTAAAAATAATTACCTCATACATAAATGGACGTCGGATAAACAAATTGTGGCATGTGTTTATACGACATAGCTGTAAGTGTTTTGATCTTCCAGAGTACGTGCTATGTATTCTTTTTTGATCAACCACTCGATTCGTTCTTTAATCAGTTTAGATGACGGCATGAATCGCGACCTCAACTGCTCAACAACTTCTATTACGAGCGTATCGTGCTTTAGTTTTTTGCGAGCTTTCATAATGCAAACCACTGTTGCCTCGATTTTGTGCATTCTATCCTCTTCCACCGTGTCCTTGGTCTTTTGACATTCTGACTCGCTTTCGCTTTTAGTTGAGGTTGATATTATTTTGACTTGGAATTTGTTCGACGTGTACAACTCGTTCACAGAGAACTCATGAGATAGTTCAATTTCTGATGTATTAGGGCTCTTCAACAGCACTCTTTGCGGTGGTTTGCCCATCACCAACGATTGCAGAGCGTGGGTCAGATCTTCCTTGTCGATTTCGGTTTTGTTCATGATGGTTTCCATAGTGATTTTCTCGTAAGTGTTGAACAACATCAGTATTGCCATTTGATAGGTGGAAACTTGGAAGTTATATTTTCGTGTAGACAACGTACCAATAGATTTCACGCTCGTACCAGAATTTAATGAAGGGGACACAACGATGCTATTGTTGGCATTTGAGCTTGTCGCACTATTATCTTGACGAGTCTCGTTGAACACGGCAGTAATGTCCGCCCATCCCAATTGAGGTTGGAGCCTTAATTGTTGGTGGCCCTTGGGTTCTCTTATACAAAAGTTTTGATAATTATTGTATGCCAGTTGCGCTACACTTGGCATGTTACATTTCGGTGTGGTTGCTGGCAACGGCCAGTAACCAGTTGTCAAGACGCAAACGGACAGTTCCATATTGTTACAATTTTTTTTAAAAGAATCCATCATGAAGTTCGATAGCGCCATGTCTTTGAGCATACCTTCTAGTTTATACGTGAATTGACGTCCACACACCAATATCAATTTAGAGATCATGTTTTTCTCGATATCGTCGCTGACAGATTTGTTGTGCAACAATCTTTTGGCCAAAAGTCGCCTATAGTATGTTTCGAAAACATCTTTGTCCTGAAGGAATCGGAACAACGCTATGGCTTTGTCAAGCACCGATTCCAGGTCGTCCTTGTCCATTCCACAAACTCCTCTCTTCAAATTATCATCGATAAATAACGACAAGTACTCTGGAGTTTTTGGATTTAAATTTAAAAAATATTTAAAACCCGAAGATATCGTCTGTTTGAACATTTTGTCGTTGGCAAAACATTTGTTGAGGAATAAATCGAATCTATCTTTGAGATCCAACAGACTCTGTATGTAAGTGATAGGATTTAAATTGGTTTCGTCTTTTTTCACCAACGAACAGCCTTCTTCTCGTAGATATTTACTTAAACAATCTAACATGGTTTCGAGTTTGTCGGGAAATTTTTTCAGAGAATTGTACATACAAGCCAGGTCATTTGTTCTTTTGTTTCTCAACATGAACACTAAGCGGGAATTTTCCATTTCCAAAATGGCTTTAATATTATTCTGGATAAGATGTTCTTTAAACGCTCGTATTATTTTCTTTGAGGTCGAGTTGTAGTCTTTCTTGCAGCAATTCGTGGGGGGTGCATGAAGTTTTCAGACAGCTCAACTTCCTAGCTGATTTCCCACAAGCTATCGTCCTTGGTGAGGAACGGGACTGCCCTCTCGATTTTCTTCTTCCGTATCTAGCTGTTCAATACGCTGGTGTCTGGTGAGTCTCCGTCCAACATTTTTGTTACTTAAATCGATCTTGTGGCGCAACTAAAGTTGTTAGACATTGACTAGAATTAACAGCGATTGCACCTGAGGCATTTCACATTAAGCGTATTTTCGCGAAGGAACCAAAAGCAATAGACAAATATCATACTAAACCAATGGCTTACAGATTACTGACAGCTGACTACTGTTTATTGATTTATAAAATGTTATCCAGGGGGTGTGACTCTCTATTCTATACTCCAGACCCTGATAAAAATTAACACAGGGATGATACTTATCACACAAACCGCGGCGGCCATCTTTTTTAGGCTTCACTCCCTTGGATCCACCCCGGTCTACGCATAAAATATTTAAACACAGTGTTTGGTGTGGGTACCTATTTAAATATTTTTCAATTTATTTGGAAAATCAAAAATGTTGTCTTAATTAATGTGCTTCAGAAATCGCTTTTACAATATTTTTCACCGTGTATATTTAAATAACCGCGGTTTGCTTGTATCGCGGATATAGCTTGGAACCTCTTGGGAAATTTCTTGTCACTAGTTTAACTATTGCAGCGTACTGATAACATAAAACATAACAACAGAATCGCCAATTACATTTATATTTTTTATATAAAACATTTATATTTTTTATATAATACTGAATACTAGCCAGTAGTCGTTCGCTAGGAACATTATTTTGAGACAACTCTACAAAACAGAAAAATTAAAAAAGTGATTGCACAGCTATTGTAATTTAAAGGGTTTAAATTTTTTTTTGTTATGAACAAACTACGCAAAAAATCAACGCTTCTAAATAATCGTTCGGGTTAGTGTGAACAAAAAATGATTATATTATATTATGTATTTATGGGGTATTCTAATTTCATAACCAAATCGTTCTATATTTTACTTTTTCATTTCAGATTTTATTAATTTTTCTTCGTTGTCTATCAAATCAACATTTTCCTATTAAGGCCCTTGACTTTGAAGGCATTGACAGGCCTTTGAATATAAAAGCTCGAGTTAAATGGCCTTGTTACACATCATGGATGAAGATCTAGCCGATAGAAGGTTTGGACACCGCTATGGTAGAAGAGGTGACTCCGAGCGGGAACTCGAGTTGGAGCCAATGGTATGTAAAAAATAATAGAAATTCCAAAACATAATTACAAGAAATCATAATACGATTCTCATAAAATTACAGACTTAACTGAGTGATAGCGATATAGAAGTCGCTGATGCTTGTCCAAGTTTTTCAAAAGATAATGACGAGTTCCTATGTTGTGAGCTATGGATTTTATCATCGCCGATAAGTCCAAGTAAGCAAAAACAATAGAGACTATAAGAATTATGCAAAATGTAACTTAATAGTTTTATGTTTAAAGGTGAGAATTCATGGGGAGATAGCTGACTAGTTCCTGGGATCAACCGTTTGTTGTTGGTGGCCTTGGGTGCAGTGGAAAATTTGTAAATGAGTGTAATGTATTTATAGGTACATATATATTTATGTATATTATTTTTTTTTATATTAAAGCCATTATTTTAATAAATAGTGAATAGAGTGTATTTTATTTCGGATTTAAAAATATATTTGTTTTGCTATTGCAGGTAAATTTTCCTTAGTGATTATTTGAAAAGTTTTAACTTAATAAAAATTCGGGTGAGATTAGGTTAAATTTGCTTTTTGAATATTTGGTTTGAAAAATCGTTTTGTGTTTGTTTAAAATTGTGTAGTTAAAAATGTCTACTCGTTTGTTAATGATGTGAGGTATTGTTATGCGTACTTGTGAAAAGGCCTACAAATAAGACGACGCATGCTTATGAATTTTTCTCAAGAATTTCACCTACTAAAACAAAGACGGCTGCACACTTTTGTGATCTCAGCCTATAATTTATGTTAATTTTTTTAGCTACAATACGGAGCTGAGAGGCTAATTTCATTTGTTTTTTTTACTGAGTTTGTGTATGAATAGGGTGTAGGATAACTGCAATCAAATAGGATAATTATTACAACTGCTAAACTTTTCATTAATATTTTTAAACATTGACTAAATAACTATAACTAGATGCATAAGCGATTTAACATTAAAAAAAAAACATAATAATTGGTATTTTTGTGTTATATGAAGTTGATATTACCTACTCTATGCTGTAGAATTTTTTCGACAAGAATTATTTGTATTGTAAATTTAAGTAGTTAGATATTTTTTGTTTGTTTGTAAATTAATTACATGTGTTCCTTTTTTTAGGACTTTATGCACAAATCATAACAAAATCTTCATAAACTGTTTTTGGCAAGCTATGAATGTTACATTTGTTGCTACTCTCTTCAGTTGTAAGTCATCAACTACTGCTGCTACTACCATAGAATCAGCCACTGTTGTATTTGAGTCTTAACAAGCTCTACAATCTGTTTATCGCAGAATTATTTGTTTATGCTCAGTTTTCTTATTAGCCCATTATTATTGTTATTTATCGGTCCACACAAAGTGCAGTATAAATTAGTACAATAACAAAAGTTGGGTTAAACCAATTATAAAATCCTAGGGCGGATCTAGGAACAAAAAAAAGAGGGTTAGAAAAAAAATCAAAGAAAGAGTATATTTATAGTCCTGAGTAAAAATGTTTATTATAAACTTTATTAGGTAATTAATTAACAATTTTGTATATAAGTGAGTAATGAAAAATAAAAGTGTGTTTAATATATTAATAATAATAGTACTGTAATATGTATATAATTTTATTATTATACGAAAAAATGCTTAGTGTAAAGAAATTAGTTATCGCTAGGTTCCTGATCTGAATTATCATTACTACCTACTCAATAGTGGTTCCGTTTTTGGATCATCTGGCCATACTTGAACAATTTGGTTTCCATTCATTTGTTAGTAGGTAGTAATATCGAGTGAAGAAGTTAGTTTGCAATCGTTAGGATGGTATGTCTCCATTTTTATTATATATCCAAATGGTTCAACTGACAGGAGCTTTGTATTTTTGTACAATCCTATCAAAAGGCAATGGTGGCCAAGTTGGAATCCTGGTAGAGTTTTACCTTGATAAAACATAAGATTTTTTTTAGTTGCCTAATTTAGCTTACTAGTTATTATAGTTTATTTTGTTGTGTCATTCATCGAAATCGAATAAAATACATTTATGTAGTCCTTAGTTATTGTTACATAATTGGTATTTTAAATACTAAAAAGATTTTGTATTAAAAACTATTGTTATTGGAAGGTCAAGGTCAGGACCCAGTAAACGAGGGGAGATAGGTTGCCAAAGTTTTCATTCAATGTTATAAAGTGAAAGTAGAAAATGGAGTACAATAAAAAGCAATGCCATTACAATTCTATAATAATATTTACTCTGGTAAACAGGTCGGTAGTTCAATCCATTTCTAATTATTTTTTCTACAGCATTTCCAGTATACTTTCTTCTCTCTTCTCCAAGTTTGTCCAACTTTAAGAATACAGTAACTTAAAAATGTAATGAATAACCGTGTTAATAACATATTATAATAAAAATAAAATAGGTAGCATCTTTTTTTTTTGGTTTTTAAGTGGAAATTTTAAATTTATAGTATCTAGAGGCCTATATCGTCAACAATGTTTTAAAAATCTTGAAAACGCAAAAAAAAAAGGAAAACTACACTTGCATTGTATTAAATTTCTAGATTGCTTTTTTCAAAAAGAAACAATCGTGAATAACCCAACTAAGTATTCTTACTATGATAAATTCTTAACTTTTCTTTAATTATACTAATTTAAATTTCAAAATTGTAATTTTTTGGCAAAATAGTTATTTAAATAAACAAATTATTCGAAAACAGTTTGGTTCGAACTAGGTTCTAAGTGTTTTAATCGAATAAACATATTTAAATAAATCAAACAACTTGAACCTACATTGGACAAATTTATCGTTAACCTAAAACGTGTTGACAAAAATGTGTTATTTATTGTGATGCGAAGTGATCAAAAATCATTTATGCCGTTCAAAACAATACTTTAAATACAATTTTTGTTGAATCCCGCTTTCTCTCCCTCAACTATAATTATAAAAGTCGATAGTTAATTTTTTTTTATTGTTTACAATTTTTTGTTTTTTAAATATTAAAAGCTCAAAAAAGTCTACTATTACTTATTGTAACTATTATGTGATCACAAAAAAAGTAAATTTCAACTTTGAAATAAACCAAAAGGGCTATTTACAGTTATTGAACAAATTCATACTTACAAAAGTAGAATAACTGATTTTTAGGATCAAGTTGGCTTAGCTCAGGCTCAGGAACAGCTTGCAAATAAAACATTTCTCTCGTACAATACTGTAATAAAGAGTTAAATATTAATTTTTTTAAACTGTTCACTACCGCATGTAGTTAATAATAAAATAATTACTCATATTAAGATCAGCCAAAACATTTGCAAGTATAAATGATATTAAAACCCAGAGAATTTTCATTTTTATCTGCAAATATAAACAAAAGCAATTTATATTAGTCACATTAATCCGAAGACATGGAAACATCTGAAAATTATCCACATAAAAACCTCCTTTAGGAAAGCGAAATACTATTAGTTTTAAAATGACGAAAATGCTTAAGGAACAATTATTGTGATTAACTATTAAGACAATATTAGAATTAGAGGAACGAAAAAAAGATAATAGCATTATTACAGTCACTAAAGCATTGGCCAAACTTATTCACACCGGTCCGCTATCGACTAAGTATCAAAATTACACTTTAGTTATGTAAAATATGTTTCTTATAATATTATTTAACTAATATAGGCATGCCAAAATTAGTCTAGTTAATAAAAAGTTATAACAAGTGTAGGCACAAAATTTACACAAAAAGAAAGTTTAAAAAAAATAGTAAAAATTTAGAAAGCGCTAGGATAGCCAAAATATGTTGTCTGATGTATTTAGAAGGTAATTAAAAATAACTATTTAAATTGTTTTCTTCAAAATAGGTAGATAACACTATTTTTAGAATGAAAAATAAAAAAACCGTATTTAACTAAATACATGGTGATCAAATTAATGTGATACACCCATTTTCTTGGAAAATAATTCCAATTTTATGACATTTTCCTTTTGAAAACATTTGTATTTTACGTTATTGAGAAAATTGAGATAAAACGTCTGAATATTATCTATTAATTTTTCAAATATGTTTAATTATTATATTTTTATAATCTGTTTCAAATACAAGATATAAAATTGCTTGAACTTAATATGTAGGTATAGGAAAAAACAACGTTGTATCTCAAATACTAAATACTAATAAAATAATTTAAAAACTTGCAAGTTCTGTTTAAAAGCGTACCTAATTAAAACTTTTAAAACTCGATACTTGCTTGTATAATGGAGACAGCACAACTTTTAAGACAAAGATTAGTCTTTTCAAATAACGAAGGTTCTAAAGTGTCTTGTATATCGACCGAAACGGTAAAATCAAATTTATTTAAAACCTTTTGAAGAAATTCTACGATTTTGGTCGTTGTTGTTACTATTCTAAATAATCGCAGATTTACTTTCTTACACGGGAACGTATTGAAAACACTTTTCAAGTTGTGTTATTAACTGAAAAAGGAGAAAACATATTTTTATGTATGCTTGTTCAAACAGTGGCCTGCTTGTCATACGCCAATGTACTAAATAAGAAATGTAAGTATCTAATAACGAAAACAACGATTTTTTTCTATCGTGTACAAAACTCTTTCACCGGGGCCCCATATTTAAGGTTCCATTTTATAATGTATAAGGTTTTATACTCTGAACTTTTGTTGCATAAAATGCGCTAGTACAATAAACGATAAAGTGTGTAAACAAGTCACAGTTGGTGTTTTACGCGTCTTATTTACCTTAAATTCTTATCGACATGCAATATCATATGAGTATAATAATACCTATTCTTAATAATATTCAATGTACCCAGATTTTTCGTACTATGAAATGCGTTAGTATATTAAAGACACAAAATTATTTTTCTCATTGTTTTTAGCGTTTTATGTTTCTTGGTTTATTATCGAAGTGAATAACATATGACTAATAGTCCGCACAAAAACACTTTTCTATATCAATAACACGACCGCATAAACAATTTTACAAACTTGGAATTTAGCACACAATAATGTGTTGATGAAAAATAATATGAAATCGATGTGATTTTCAATTAAAAATATGTAGGATTCATTTTTGTACCCTGAATTGTTCTTATATAAATTGTATTTAAGCCAATCCATTAACAATGTGGTTAGTCGATCAGAATATTGTAAGAACTCTCGCCGTATATATGTAATATATTCTACACTTTTTTATTTGTTCACTCAACATTAGAACTCCATTTGGGTTATGTGATAATAATTATAAAGACGAATTAGAGTTTATGTCTAATATAAGTATATACAATGAACCTGATTGTGTATTGACAATGTAATAAGACACGTTTAAAATATAGTTTAAGCTTAGAACGGTTTTTTTTTTAATTAGGTGTAATTTAATGTTATAGTAATAATTAGGTCAGCCCGTTTTATTTGTTGAAATATATTCGTATATACAAACATGTAATAATAATATTATAGTCTGGAGTGGTAAACGCAGCACCATTTACGTTTATTAAACTGCGTTGTGCTACGTTGTGGACGCGTAACGCGTAGAACAACAATATGGACGGCGGGTTACACGAGTGTCTGTTGGACAGCGGCGTGTTGAACGAGATGCACACCGTAATAGATTCGGTGGTCAATTCGTCGGTGACGGCCGCCGGCTTAGAGGACAGCGATGCCCGCGAAATCGCCGAGCGTCTGCTCGAGTTGAACGCCGACGACATCGACGGGCATCTGGACGCTTTGGTGCGGGGGATGTGGCAGTCCAGCTGACCGGCCAGTCGGCCGACGGACGATGGCCCGATTTGCTGGACTTCGATTTAGGCCACAGGCAGACCGCGCGTAACCTGAGCGCGCACTGCCGGTTGCCGTTCACGTACGACACGTACGCGGGCCCTTACTTGCAGAGACTCGCCAAAGGGCTGGAGCAATGCGTCTCGGTGGACGCGCTCTTCGAGCCCGCGGCCTACGGGTACGCCAATTTGGTGGACGCCGCGCCGCCCGGACTGCAAGACGGCGGTCGAGAGTTTCGCTTCGCTGTGCGAGGCCGCGCATCTCAGGTGTCACCGCCGACAACACCATAAGTGCGGTGTGTCTGGCCGTTGTGTGCCGCCGGGGCGCAGTTGCAATAGGGTCAAACCGGCCGTGGTGAAGTTCGTGGCCGCCGTGGCCTACGACCACGGGCACGACAGCCCGGTGGTTCGATCACGTGCCCAGAAGTAGCGTTACCAGGACGGCGACCTGATTGAAGTACTTCAGAAAACCGTGATTCTTACTTTTTGTTATCGCCAAAATATGTACAAGGACTAAAGACATTAAAACACAAAAAAGTTTCATTTTGATCTGGGGAAAAAATATGTATGATAAATTCATTTTCCAGATACGGATATCAATCGATTATATATTTATTCGATAACTATGATATCCTGATGAAAACGTAATTTTTAAACTTGATCTATTTTTTACATTACCCTCTAATAATAATAAAAAAACTGTTTAAACTAACATTCAGCTTCTAATATTTTAGACCCAGTACTTGGTTTTTTTTTAGAAAAAGAAATACACTTTATTACTTTCTGTGAATAACTCCATAATACAAATTTGTATAACTTAAAAAAAAAAAATCTCAAAAATATTTTATTCAAATATTTTTTATGTTTCCAAATGTGAATTTTGTCCGAAAAATTATCCGGCCCATTAATAAAAATTAGTATCCTGTCTTTTGGCATTTGATTTTATAATAATTTACATGTAATCAAAAAATTAGTTTTTAAATTATGGTACAATGAACGTCTTACATTTGCGTGGACCAAACCAATTCGATTAGAATGTTAACCCAAGTTATTACATATATTTTTTTACATGTACAATTTGTATAGTTATAAATCATAATATATATTTGTTTTTTATGATAAACATGTTTTTTGGACATATCTTGTTTTATTATTGATGTTTTGGAACGTTTGAATTGGCTTGTATGATAGTACCATATTGTTGCAAATATTATAGCGAAAATTGTTTAATACTTACTTAAAAAAATGTTTGTCTTATATTTTGTCAACATTTTTTTTTTTGTTATTGCGTTCGTATTTTCCGATTTTTTAATATATTAAATTAGTATATAATTTAATTAGTTTTCATTCTTTCATTTGTCGCAGTTAAGAAACTAGTATTCTGTATTGCTATACATTTTCTATGCAATTGAATTAAATGTGATAATGATAAATGTTCACATTAGGACAATTTAATAGAATCTAACCTTGACATACACAAACAGTGCACACTGGTAAAAAGCCCTACAAATGTGACGTGTGTTTGAAGTCATTTTCACAGTTTTCGGCACTTACAACACATAAACTCGTGTACACTGGGGAAAACTCCATAAATGCAATGTGTGCTCAAATTTGTTTTCTACAAAATCAAGTTTAATAAAGCTACGATCCCTAGGCCCAAAACAACAGGTTGAAAATCGGACACTTAATGTAATTGAAGTTTCTTTTAAATGACAATTAATATATTGTAAACACAGCGATATAACTCGACTAAATATCATTTATTTCACAATTATAACGTTTTAACATGGTCGGCTGCTGTTGGTTGTAACATTATTGTATTTTGCGGTTATATATCCGCCTTGTTGTAGGTAGAACCCAATGAAGATAAGTAGTATCTAAATCCGCGGGCCTTGGATAACCTTATTGTACAGATACTATTTTCTTAGTTCGTATAATATAATAACATTGCGGATTTAAAAAAAAATGTATTGTCTATTATATTTGGCACGAGCACATATTATTATATTATACTGTTTTGGTTTAGCAATGATTATAAATTCAAAAAATCTTTATGACTCATTAATTCAAATAATGGAATAATTTTGCCGCTAAAAATATTTCTTTCACAATTACAATGCATACTATTATAATAACGAGTGGTGTACCTATTTAAATATATTTGATTTAATTGGAATATTTAATAATTTTCCCTTAAATGTGCTTCAGAAATCTATTTTAAAATATTTTCCATAGTGTATTCAGATTGACGCGGTTTGCATGTATCGCAAATATAACTTGGGACCTCCTTGGAAATATCTTAACACTTGTTTTTGCTTACATACCACCACGTGCTGATAACATGGCACATAACAACAGAGTAACATAAACATATTACATTTATTAAATTCAAATTTTTCATAATGCTCGCTGCTCGTAATTCCGCATTCGTGTTCCTTGTGTATTGTTATATCTAGTAGGTATTATAGTTTGTGTAGTTACAAACATTTTTTTTAAATTTTATGACAACTACTAAACAGAAAAATTAAACAAGTAAGTGGTTGGACAGTTATTTTAATTTAAGGGGTTTACATTTTTTTGTTATGAACTAACGACAAAAAAAAATACGTATAACACATATAACATTATATGAGTTTTGCATGATAATTAAAATGCTACTAGAATTATTAATCTAGTAATAATCATTATAGGCAAATATCTACTCAAAATAATGAAATATGCAAGTATTTCAATTTAAATACAATGTAATAATAACAGTTATAATACAATATATGATATTTTTCTTTTATTATTACTTAGTACTACGTACAACTAATTGCATTATAAACATTATTTGATAGTCATTTTATAATGATCTCAATTAATTAAAAAAAAAAAAATGCAATTTATAAATAATAACTGATACAAAAATGAGAATAAATAAGAATAAATACAGTGTAGAAAATAATTATATTTAAAAACAACAATGGAAATATATATCACTTAAATAGAGAATTATCAGCTAATTTATTGTCAAGAGACAATAAAACATTTATCGAATGGTTTGACATATAATTTTGAGGGACATGAGGTGTATAAATTAATTGGTTGTTAAGAATATTGTGGTTTTTTACTTTAAAGTTAATTAGATTAAGAAGAAACGGATCAACAATTTCATTATTAGGCAACCTTAAAAGAAAAGTATCGCATGCGGTGACTTCACGTGAGTCTAAGGATTCCATATTTAATATGCTAAGAGTATTTTCATACTCTCTATTTACATATTAGTAGGGGTAAATATATGCAGTATAAGTTTGCTGATTTGATTTCTAGTCTTTGCGAATTAAACTCATATTGTATTTGAGTATAATTCTGATTTCACTAAAAAAATATACAGTCATAAACATCTGAACTTTAGTTACTATATCATATTATGTTTTTATGGGGCATTCAGATTTCAGAGCCAAACTGTTCACACAATTGTGTATCATGTATTTTGATGATTTTTTTACACTGTCCATCAAAACAATACTTTTCCATATAGTTTCAGTTTTCAGTAGGTAATCCATTATAATTTAGTGTTTATTTAAAATGGAAACTGCTTTTTATAATTGCCTTCTCATAATTTACTGAAAAATTGATTAACAGTAAAATAGTAAATATGTTAAATCATTTTGTTTAATGTGTTATACCTTCTTTAGGTACTTCTCTCGCAGTTAATAGCAACTAAGTCAGATAAGAATTAAATGAACTTTGATAGCCATTATTCTAGGAGCATTTTAATTATCATGCAAAACTCATATAATGTTATATGTGTTTTTGTTTAAATACTATACAATATGTACATAGTATAAGAGTAATACAAGTGGAAATTTGGTATTTGAATAAAACACAAATAAATGAATATACTTTCCTGTTGATAAACAAATATCATATATGCAAAAATAAATAATATTACGTTAAAACAATAGTGTGACATAAAAACATTATACAAACAATACAAACAGATTAAAGTGAGGCAACGAACCCTATGCTCAAATGCTATTTATTTATATTAATCGACAAGGTGAATTGGGACACCTGTGTTTACAAAAACAACTTTTTTAATGTTAAACTTAACCTTGACATATATTATACGTATTTTATATCATAAAGAAAACAATATTGTTATTAAAGTAGGTACACAATAATAAAATATAAATTATTATTATTCCGACAGCTTCATATCACATACTGTTGTACTCTCACAACGAACGAAGTAGTCTGTGAATGAGGCATCATTTTCTAATGTTCAAATAATTAAAAACATTTCAAACAAATTGTTATAATATCCTTTTTAAGATTATAAAACGGACACTAAAATCAGTAACTGTCATTATATAACTCATATTTTTTTTATTGTACTACTAAGAACAAACAATTTTTAAAAAACCTTTGATTTCACTGTTTTTGTTTTCTATAGCAAAATAATTTTCATTGCTATCTGAATGTTTTAGACAATATTAATTTTACAATTACCCACTGGACAAACGAAACGCAGAATAAAGGTACATCTACTGTAAGCCAAGTACAACAACTGTGGAGATAATCATGGCAGAACAGTTCAAACATTTTTATACATTCTTGCAGTAAGTCATAAATAATATTTTTGTGTTTTATCATTGCATTTAATAAATACAATAAAATGGATACATTTTTCTAGGGAGAAAAAATTTTGCGATATCACTTTGGTAAGCGACGAAGGCTTAGAAATACAAGCACACAAAATTATACTAGCCTCTGCGAGCTCTGTATTTTATACTATGTTCACTGCACCTTTTAAAGAAAGTAAAGAAAATGACATTGTTATAAAAAAAATGGACTCTAAAGTTTTACAAGCCATCGTAAAATTTGCATACACATCCACAGTTGATATTAAAGAACGTTATGTAGAGGTATTACTTCACAAACACTTTAAAAAATACACTGTTATTAGTTATTACTATTTTGCTAATTATCTATTATTATTTTTTAGAAACTGTGGTTGGCTGCCGATTTTTATGATCTATGCTATATCAAAGAATCGTGTTCAGAGTATATTAAAGAAAACATAAATCCTACAAATTGTGTAAGCTTTATGAAAACTTCCGACTTAATATCGGACAAAGAGATTTATGCATTTTGTTGGTCGTATTTCCTAAAAAATTTTACGTGAGTAATCATGTGTGTGACATACGATCGTAATAAATTTAAAATTTATTAATAATGATTTTTTGTAGAATGGTTGTGAATTCAGATTTGGCATTGAAAGAGATATGTGAATTTCCAATTGATTATGTCCTCAAGTTTATTAAACACGACGATTTAGTAATTAATAATGAGGAAAAGGTGAAATATTATTGCAGATAAACTTTAGAAATTCTTGTTAAATTATACATAATTATTGTAATATTATTATAAATAGAAAAATGTATTATCTTAATGTTAGATCGTTCCTTACCATTACCTACTGACAATTTAACAATTTATTTTAGATATTTGATTTCATTATTTGTTGGATAAGCCATAATACATATGAACGAAGTCACTTGTTATCCAATCTTATGAAACACTTACGATTGCATTTAATTTCGGAAGAAGGACTACAACGTATATGCAATGAGCCGTTAGTGAGAAGTAACATAGATAGTAAGTTTGCATTAATGTTCCAATCGGGATCAGAATTTGCTCCACGTTTTTCAAATATAGTATATTATTAATGTGTCTTTAAAAAAATGTTTGCGATTTTTCGCACAATCGTATTAATAGTTTTTTGTATTGTTATTATTTATTATTAGTTCTGATGGACTTGAAAAAAGAAATGGCTAATACAAAACCTTTATATACATTAGGAAGAAATACCGAGCCAAATGTACGTAAACTAAATTTATACAAATTAAATACAATATTACTTGTGTACTTATCATCACCTGACATATGTATAATAATATATTTGTAATCAGATAATTTTTGCAATAAACGGTCATACAAATGGCCGCGATTACTGTATAAAGTATATGGATACCAGAAGCGAGGACAACTTGGAGTGGAAAACGAGCAATCATTTAGTTTTCTGTCCTCCCCGTAAAGACACAATAATGGTGGTGACGGAGAATGGATTTATGCTCTCCATTGGCGGCACGGATGAGTCTGGTAATGATGTCAATCTTGTAGATGAGCTAGACCTTAAGTCAACATCAAAACAATGGGTTCCCACAACACCACTAAATAAACCACGGACTTTTTTCGAAGTCTGTACTCACAAACAATACATATATGTCGTACGTATTTCAATTAGATTATATTTTACATTAATTACAATTGACTTATGTACAAAAACTTTTTTTTTTTTTCATATAGGTTGGAGGATTTAATTCTTCGGGTAGATGTTTTTCGAATTCAGTAGAGTATTATGATACAAATTCCAAAGTATGGACAGAAATCGCTGAACCAATGCCAACGGCTCGATGCCGGTGCAGTGCAATAATCAGTAATAATCAATTATACGTTGTATGTGAACACTTATTGACCATAATAACCACGTCTAGCTATTCAAAAAGTTTCCTTACCTTTATTTTATGAATTATTATAAGCAAAATAATTTTAAAATATTTTATTTATCCAAGTAAATGTAGTTTGTGAGAGTTTAATCAAGTTTAATTGTTCTATTTATGTAGTTTGGTGGAGCTAATGAAAATTATCTTGCAACTGTAGAATGTTACGACATTGGAAAGAAATATTGGAAACAACTCGATCCAATGCCGATAAGCAATTCTAGGATGGCTATTACGAGAATATTGAACGTCATTTATCTCATTGGCGGTTACAAAGCCCTTAGACGAGTTCTAAAATTCGACTTACAACATTTCAATTGGGATGAAATGCCCAATATGCACTCGGGCACATATGATGGAACATCGAGTCTGTGAATATTTATTCAAGTATATTGTACATTACTTTACTTATTATAAACCATTATGAAATGCAGGTGTTGTTATCGGGGACAAAGACTTGTTCGTGTTTGTCAACGATTACGGAACACTTCAGAGAGAAAGATACGACGCAGAAGCAAAACAATGGCAATTGGTTGATAAGACAGGAGAGCCATCGCAAGGATTTGGTCGTAATATCATTGCTTTAAATGATTTTACACTGAAATCATACGGTATTCACTTGTAATACTATTTTTTGACAATAAAATTGGTAAATAAAATTTGTTTCAAAATTATTCAAATTTGATTTTTTTATTTCAAACCTTAAACAATTTTTGTAATAATATGAAATGGACAAGTCCTTATTAAATTTAAGTCAAGCTCAGCTTTATACCAGTTCTAATTTGATAGATTTAGTTTTAAATATGAATTAATAGATCTATTAGACAAAATTATAATCAAATAAGTAAGTGATATTTTAATTGTAGGCTTTTTGAGCCCTCTTTATGGCAAATGGAAAATGAATCGACACGTTAGAATTCAAAACAGGTTCACCTGAATAGTGGCTTTATCGACAGATTGGTTCTTACATTATCTCTAGTTTATTCCTAAATAAATATAATGTTTTTTAGTTCATAGTATGTAGCCGAGTTGCAATGTTCATTTGAATAGATATAATAATAACTAAATAATACTTATTCTTCTAAGTTACACAGAACGACCATTGTTGTTTTGGATACAAACAAAAAATGTCGTTGGACTACGACCGAGGTCGTTAAGTCGCCCATTGAGCTTACTTTTGGTACTTCTACATAATATGTTTTGTGGTAAATTTGATACATATAATATTTAGGTGTTTACAACCTACAATTGAATCTCCAGTAACGTGACGTAGTCCTTTTTCGTGGTTTTGATTAATTTTACTTGTTTAAATGAACCACGCAGTTGTTTAGATTTTTTTCGCTAAATCAGAGTCATAACTTTTTATCCAGCCAATAAGTTTTATTTTCATAAAAAAACCAAAATGGATTTATAATTAAGATTTGAAAGAAACACTGTTTTGTACTTGGATAACTTTCTAAAATAAGTTTTTTTATTCTAGTTATTTTGCTTTAATTAGAACAAATCTCAGATTTAACGTAGAAGTTTTATTTTTATGCAAAAAACACAACTGTTAAATTGTGATTGTTTTGAATGTTGTTTTAAAATTTGAAAAAACTATAAAAACATGACGTGCTATTTGTTGTTGTTAAAGCATTTTATAGAAAATGACTTTAGGCAAATATCACAATTGAAGGACTTTTCACCAGTGTGCACGCGCATGTGGTATGTCAAGGTACTACTCTCAGCAAACATCGCATTTATATATGAGAATTACCTAGCAACTGTAGAATGCTACGACTTTGGAAAGAAATATTGGAACGTCATTTATCTCATTGGCGGTTACAAAGCACTTAGACGAGTTTTAAAATTCGACTTACAACATTTAAATTGGAACGAAATGCCTAAAATTAAAGAACTAAAAAAATTAATGAGCTATTTGTTAAAACATTTTTGTAAGCCAGTTTTATATTAGCTAATAAAAACCTATTAAAAGTATATCTTTATTTATTTTGTTTCAACAAAAGGGTATCCGGTGGTTACAGATCTTCAAGCAACATTATTATTTAGATGTTGAAAAAAATATTACTTTTATAAAACCGCAATAACATAGTTTCTAAGCATTATTTTTAAAACTTATTATTTTATTTTACATTGGTATAAAAATTCTACTCGAAATTCTAAGTGGGTAGTTATCGCGGTTACAGATACAAAACGAATAACTAAAATAATGTACATCATGGAAAACTAAAACCTAACTTTTATGCTCCGCATCAAAGCTGAAAATAATATGTTTCTATAATTCGTACCATAATATTTACAAAAAAAAAACGAAAAATTCTTGTTTTGCATGTGATTTTCAAATTTGAAAAAAACTAAAAAACTTGACGCGCTATTTGTTTAAGCCAGATTTAGATTTAGCGAATAAAAACCTATAAAAAGTATATATTTTTTATTTTGTTTCAACAAGGCCCATTATTGTAGTTTAATACGTGTAAAAATACTTTTACTTAGTTCTAGAGTTTACTGTTGTACACTTCTGTATTTTCTATACCAAACTCTTTAATAAGACGTTGTCGTAGCAACATAATTTATAATCGTGTTAATGGTAATTAACATATATTCAACTTGAGTGTAGTAAATTGAATTACCAAAATGAATGCAAAAAAAAAAAATTAACACAAACAAAATATAAATATATGAAAAATGTATATTAATAATAACTGTGAATATAATAATACACATATAATAATAAATATGTTTAAAAAAATTACAAAAAAAGTCTGTAAGGTAAAAAATGGGTAAATCTATAATTACACATAAATAATATAATATAAAAAATATTGCCTTTTTTAACATTTAATCATCACTTAAACACCTAGAGGTTAAAATAGTTTAATTAAAATTAAACAACAATAATTAAAACTTTAGCAGTAAATGTATCTTATGGAGGGCGTTAATACCCTAATAATTTACAAATCGATACTTAAAACGTCTAACAAAAAAGCAATATAAATGATTAAATAAGCCCTCAAGTTTTCATCCATCTGGTTAGAGTTTTAGGAAAAAATTTAAAAGCATACCCATCATATAAAAGGTTATTCACTTGTTTGTATGCATTTGTATGATCTAATCTTGAGTTTGATACAAAGGACATTAAACACAATTAAACTTAGTAGAACTTTTAACCGGTGAGCACGCATTTATGTTTTGTTAGACTGCGTTTTTGTGAAAAACATTTGGAACAAACTTCACATTTGTAAGACTTTTTGGCAGTGTGCAATCGTTTGTGTTGTGTGAGATTGGCTTTTCTAGAAAACGACTTAAGGCAAATTTCACATTTGAAAGGTTTTTCACCAGTGTGCACACGCGTGTGGTATGTCAAGGTACTATTCTCAGAAAACGACCTTAGGCAAACATTGCATTTGTAGGGTTTTTCACCTGTGTGCACGCGTTTGTGTCCCGTGAGGGTGGAATTTGAAGTAAACGATTTTAAGCAAACATTGCATTTGAATGGCTTCTCACCAGTGTGGACGCGCATATGTTTTGTCAAGGAACCATTCTCAGGAAATGATTTTAAGCAAATATCGCATTGGTAGGGTTTTTCACCGGTGTGCACGCGTTTGTGTAATGTTAAATGAGATTTTTTAGAAAACGACTTAAAGCACACATTACAGTCGTAGTGTATTAAGTTGTAGTGTTTTTCACCAGTGTGCACACGTTTGTGTACTGTAAGCGAGGATTTATCAGCGAAGGACTTTAAGCACAACGCACATTGGTAAGGCTTCTCCCCAGTGTGCACGCGTTTGTGTAATGTGAGATGTGATCTCTTAGAAAATGACTTCAAGCACACATTGCATTTGTAGGGTTTTTCACCGGTGTGCACGCGTTTGTGTTCTGTGAGGCAAGATTTTACAGAGAACGACTTTAAGCATACATCACATTTGTAGGGCTTTTCCCCAGTGTGTATGCGTTTGTGTGTGGTGAGGTGGGTTGGTTGAGCAAATGACTTTCGGCATACATCACATTTATAAGGCTTCTCCCCTGTGTGCACGCGTTCGTGTAATGTAAGTAATCTCCTCTCAGCAAACGACGTTAAGCATACATCACATTTGTAGGGCTTTTCCAAAAATGTGTGCATGCGGCGTTTGTGTACTGTGAGCCAGGATATTACAGCGAATGACTTTAAGCACAGAGCACATTGGTAAGGCTTCTCCCCAGTGTGCACAAGTTTGTGTTTTGTGAGGGAGGATTTTAGAGAAAAAAATCTTGAACACACATCACATTTGTAGGGCTTCTCACCGGTGTGCACCCGATTGTGTTGTGTGAGATGATATTTTGAAGAACACGACTTGAAGCACACATTACATTTGTAAAGCTTCTTTTCACCGGTGTGCACGCATTTGTTATTTGGTTCATTACTCATATTATTGGAACTAAAACAAAACATTATTGCACTTTAAATAATAATTTAAAATATATATTTATATTCTTTAACAATATTTTATACATATTCTAATTGGATTAAGTAAACACACTGATTAAACTAAAATTTCCTAAATTCATCTGGTTGAATATATATGAATACAAACATTGCGCTATTTGAATAATATTTTTTTGTTTTTTGTTGCCTACCACTTTTTTTTTCATAATTAAATGTTATCATAAAAATTAAAATTGCTTACATACAAGTGTTTAAATTAATGAAATGCCAATTAGTACGATAATGATTTTACAACTTGATTCATAGATTTGTTAAGGAACATACCAAAAAATGGTGTAACTAGATCATTTTAACGAAAAATTAATTATGATAGTTTTTCGCTTCAGATCTTTAATTGATAATGTAATAGGTATAATATTTAATGAGAATTTGCCTTACATGAAAACATTTTTGACAACTTGTTTTCCTGTGCTTTTCTGGAATGTTAAGTTCTCACTATGTGATTCAGATATGTGACGAGCAACTCTTCTTTTTGTACTAAACGCCTTGTTACACACATCACAGACAAATCTAAGTATTTCGTCCAAATCGTTCGTTTGCAAATCTGGAAGCCTATTTTTTTCAGTTTCTATCACCGATTCAAATACATATCGCCCAACTAGGTCTACCTCGGCTTTGACTATTGTTTCTATGCACGTTTCTCCAACACTAAAATCAAGAAATAAATAACTTTTCAATATATTTAAGATATTAAAATAAAAAAAAAAAAAAATTTATTTACTTATATGCATTATTGTCTATTGTTTTTGGTTGTTCTTTTGACTGCCGATTTTTTTCTATTTTTTCTAATATGCAATTATAATTGTCAGTTTGGTCTATTTTAATTTTCGTCTGGCCTCTTGCTTGATTAAGTCTATAACATAGCCAATTTGAAAAATTAGAAGGAAAACTCCCATGTTAAATTTGAAAAAAATATTAAACCACTAGATTAAGTCTTAGACCATCCCTATGTTACATGGTCTATTATCAAATTTTTTATTTAAATAAAAACATTCTAACAGCTAACTGCACAGCTTGATTGTTTTGTTCAGTAAATATTTTAAAAGTATTACAATTCAAAGTTTAAGAACTTTACTTGCTTTCCCTTATAGATTATATTTTTAAAACTGTAATGTAGCATCGATCACAATATTATTAAAACAACTTGACGGATTCATAAATAGCTCAGGAATAAACCAAAAAATGGCGTAACTAGTTCATTGAAACAAAAAAATTAATTATGATAATTTTCCCCTTCAGCTCTCAATAATAAGCTCTGATAATCGTGTAATAGGTATATTAAATAAAAATTTGTCTTACACTAAAATATTTCTGGCAACTTGTTTCTCTGTGCTTTTCTGGGACGTTAAGTTCTCACTGTGTGATTGAGATATGTGACGAGCAACTTTTCTTTTAGTATTAAACGACTTGGTACACATATCGCAGACGAATCTAAGTATTTCGTCCAAATCGTTCGTTTGCAAATCTGGAAGCCTATTTTTTTCAATTTCTATCACAGACTCAAATACATATCCGCCCACTAGGTCTACCTCGGCTTTGACTAATATTTCATTGCTCGTTTCTCTGACACTGTACAGAAAAAAATATATAATTACATTTTCAAACAAGGAATAAAGAAGAGTAATGTAGCATTTGTATACGAAAGTTTTTATATTATAAATATTAATAATATCAAAAATAATTTATCAAATATGATTTTTTTCCTTGATGTTAAAAATAATTATTGGGTCAAAAATTAATAAATCAAAAAATAATTATAATTATTTTAATTTAAAATTATTTTTAATATAAAATATTTCAATTGAAAAATCACATTACCCATATGCATCACTGTCAATTGTTTTAGATTGTTCGATGTGGGTCGTGGGACAACAGTTGTATGACTTTGCAACAGATTTAGATTTTGTAGTTTTCGATAAGGCTTCAGTCAATTGCTCTTTTGTATCCTCGTCGCATTTATTTATTTTGTTATAATTATCCATTTCTGATCTGATTTTCAGTTGGTATCTAACTACTTCAACTCTAAAAAACAAAGCATATTTGCAAAAATTAGGACAAGAACACGGTGAAATGAAACTAGAGTGGAGGCCGACTCTTCGACCTAATAGATTTTAAAAAAAGGGGGCCTCAAAGATTTGCCAGAAAACTTGACACTTCAATAGCAGTATCAAGTTAGTTTAGTCCTCTAGGCATGCTATTGTTTCCTTTGGAGGTTTGATGGCGTAAGCTCCCATCCAACCAGATTTCCAAAGCCCGAAGACGCAAGAAATTGTTTTATATAGTTAAAGGCTTACTAGTTTAAAGCGTTGGAAAAATTCAAGTAACTATAATTCTGGAACTAGAGGAGTCCACAGTGTTTTGACTTCAGATTTGTAATAACCGTAAAAAACACTACACGATAGCAAAAAAAAACAGTGTCCAGTAATTGTTCCAAATAGAATAAATAGAACTAATAATACTACTCGGCACTTACTTTGAGCTACGATGAGACCGCTTGCCAAGGCTACGATTTCTAGACCCAAAACAATAGGTTGAAAATCGGACACTTTATGTAATTAAAATTTGTTTTACAAATTTGTATTAACAATTAATTTACTGTAAACACAACTATATAACTCACAAAAAATCAGTCGCTTTAAGCAAGAACTGAGACACACAATCACTACAATTTCATAATGATAACGTGACGACATGGTTGGCTGCGGTGGTCGGATGCTATTGGTTGTAATATCGTTGTATTCCGCGGTTCACGGTTGTATATTTATTAATCCTCTTTGTTGTAGGTAGAACCCAATGAAGATGAATAAAAACTATCTAAATCCGCGGGCCTCGGATAACCTTATTGTACAGATACTATTATCATAGTTCGTGATACAGATTATATTATAGCTGTTACCGACTACGACCACTGAACTATATAACATTGCGGACACGATGTAGAGAAGATAAGGTGACACCACTCAACTTCTTATCAGTAAAAATCTGGGTTCGAATGCTTCAGGCATTTTGGTAGTTCAGCTTCGCTGTACAGGTGGCGCCACTATTCACCCGGAGGTCGATATTTTGGTTACACCTCAAAGAGCCACTCGACACGGAGCCACTCGACAAACAACCACCGAAAATCGACACGGAGCCACTCGACAAGCAGCCACTCGAAGGGGTACCAACATATACAATATTTATAAAAAATGCACGATTATTATTCGTGTATGTTGTGCGGCTAGTATTGTTTATTTAAAGGGGAAAACTTGTACATTTCATAATTAATGCAATAAGGCTTGAACTATTTTTAATTCACTGTGTGACCTGTCTTCTGTTTTGAGTTTTTTTATTTAAGTTATAATCAAATCAGTTTCTATTATTGAAATTTATATAAAAAAAAAACGGAAAGTATATGAAACAATATTTACAATATTATATTATAGTGATAATTTACCTACAATAAATTGTCTCCTGAGTTTGTAAAAAAAAATGTTTTTCAAAACATACTTACACGTTTTATAATAAGTAAAGCAGAATGTTCATTGATCAAATGTCAATGAAATTATACTTTTTTTTTAAATTATTTAATACCGATGTATTATACCTATCTATTTATAACAATACATCGTGAATACCTCATACGAAACTATTCGATACCCGTCAATAAAATTAAACACATTTACTTAAATACTTTACAACTTCCAATAGGCAATAACACAATAATAAATTATAGTTAAATATTATTTAATTTTGTATTATATATTTTCATATCTGTGTATTAGTTATCATGTTATATATATGCCGAAAATAATAATTCCGAAAAAATTTAGAACCAAAACATATATTAACCGAAAATATAATAGCCGAAAAATATTTAAGTCGAAAATAATGTCATCGAACGTATTTTAGCTGACACTTATTATTTGAACAGAACCTTATAAGTTATAAATTATAATAGTATACAAAAACACTGTTACGCGCGCCGTGTGACCGCGTTGTGTCTACTGTCTACGCTATTTTTATAACATCTGTGATAAGTTTCATTTGTTATTGAAATATACAGCTATTTTTTATTTTGTGGTTGACATTTTTTTTCCATATATACTACGAATGCTTAATTGTTAGTATTTGTTTATACTTAGCTACACAATAGTAAATTCAAACAGGGACAACCTATGGTAGACTGGCGCCTTGCCGATGCTGAATAAAATGTTTATATATTATTAAGCCGGCAGTAGTTTTTTGGGGTCTAAAATAACCGGTATGGTTCTTTTGGATCTAGATATGATACACTCATCAGACTTATCACTAATGTCCAGCTAATATATAAAATAGATCACTCTAGTTTATGTGTAAACAAGGTCAGATACAAGGGGAAGGCTGGAGTTAATAGTTAATAGTTTATAATACAATCTATATTAAAATAAATATAAACCAAGTCAAACTATAACGAATTTATGAGTAGTAAATTCACATGACTTCTTAAAAACAATCCAAATTAACTCAGGTGCTATAATATTATATACATAATATTATCATTGATTATCATTAATCAAAGATATTATGTATAAATGCACAAACAACAAAAAAGTTCAAAAATATTAAATTTATATTTATAAACACAGATTTCCTTATTTCACACTATTATAATATACAAGTTAAAAGTTAGCTATAACTTAAATTTAAGTGACATGTGTATTGGCGTTGTCGATTGCATTATCTAGATGTTTTTATACATGTGCATAGAGCACACAAGGGTTTCACAAAATGATTGATACTTAGTGTGTGATATTATAATTAACGTGAAGTGGGTCTCATACGGTTAAAAAATTATTAACGAAACGTTAACATTACTAAGTTTACTATGGTCAAGTTTATACAAACTAACGGTTGGTTACCAACTGCGGCCATCCATCACTGATGTTAAATAATTATGAGATTCGAGCTATCAAAAAAAAAATATAATGGTTCAACACGTTGGCGGTGGCCGGTACTTAACAAAAGACTGCAAGGAAATAGTTTTTACTAAAAAAATTGATGATTTTACTGTTTTTATCTATTTTTAATGTTATAATTATTAAAATTTATTTTATTATTGACCACGATTTAATAAAAAAAAAATTGTTTGGCTTAAGTATTCTAACAGCCTTAACAAAAATGTATTTTTTAAAATGATTATGTACATGTTTATTTTTAAAAGTTATTATCAGCAGTAATAAACATATAATATTAATCATTTGTTGAATAAAAACTAATAGTGTACATATTATGAACACAACGGATTTCATACAAGTTATTTTAGTATTAAAGTTAGAAACAATTGTGCATTATTAAAGAAAAATACTAGATTAATATAATCAAGTTTATAAAAAATGTTTACTAAATTATTTCCACTTGGCTTATAGTTTTTAAATTTTGAACATAGTTGGAAAAATAACAAAATATAGTTAGAACATTACAAATAATTATGGTATAAATCTACTTTACCGGGCACCCTTTTTTTCGATTATTTTTTTAAATCGACAGTACTTTTAATGTTGATTACGAATATGTAAAAAATTTGCGCCGCTCGCACTTAGTTTGGAAGTTACAGACTTTTAAAGTTCGCCGAAATCGACATACGTGCGCGCCCGGCACTGCACGTCTACCCGCGCCCGCTGGGTACTTCGTCCGTCGATCGCCGCTTAATTATCATCGGATTCCTCGTCTACCTGCCTCCCGCCCGTCGTGGTCCTTTTTTTTTTGCATCATAATTTCATCACGCTAATATTTGACTTGTTTGGGATTTTGCTATAGCGAACAATGAACAATTTTTGGCTCGCCCGATGCACATTGTTGAGACTTGAGGATGACTTAGTAGTAAATATTAATGTTTTATCGCGCCCCGCTAATATTATAAAGTATTACGGGCTATTATAAAGCAATACATGTTATTCATTTTTTATAATTTGGTTATTCATTTATATTTTATGATTCTACATATATTAACACAAAATAAATATATAATGCTGTTTTTCTACAAACTCTGATGAAAATTGTGAGGGACACACACACATACATTAATTTATATATATATATATATATATATATAGATAATAAAAATAGAAATAATTAATCAGATAAAAAAATCCAATTTATATAGATGGCCTATAGCATAAGCCAAATGGGTGGAAAATATACACATTTGCCAATTAGCTAAAAATGTACTTTTTTTGGATTTTTATATCGGTATTTATCTAATTCTAACCCTCTGCTTCTGAGTTTTTAATAATTAGTTCTAAGTCAATAAAAAGTAAAAACCTTTATCAAATACTTTTTAGTTGTATATATAATATATACATGGATCGTTCATTCCGATACTCATGAAAATGCACACAAATTAAACAACGTTCAATAACTTCATTTGTTTTATATTTAAAATATATTTGTAATTTAATTGGAATACATGAAAGCAAGTTAAAATATTATTCAATTAATATCGTTGCAATGTACATAATTTTTTTACCTATGTATTAAATTAATAAATAAGTATCAATAATATAAAAATGTATAATTATTTATAATAATAGAGTAAAAGTATTTAGAAACAATAATTATTACTAATAGCATGAGTAAACAATAAATCCTGTTGAGTAAATTGAAATGTTTACAATGAACATAGTAACAATGTCTACTATACAATAGGGGTTTTAATAAAAATATAATATTTTCTACAAAATTACTGTTTTTATTTTTATTGATATACAATTTGGAAATTACATTTTTTGCTATTACTCCGTTATAATATGTGGTGTCGGCCGCACAACATACACAAATAATAATCGTACATTTTACATAAATATTGTACATGTTGGTATCTCTTCGGGTGGCTGTTTGTCGAGTGGCTCCGTGTCGATTTTCGGTGGCTGTTTGTCGAGTGGCTCCTTGTCGAGTGGCTCCGTGTCGTGCTCCCGATATTTTCTATGCGGCTTATGGACGATAAACATTTTATTTTTTACTTTTATGTTAATTATTCTTTATTTGGAGTTTTTATTATTTTTATTGTCTTATTTAGTAATAAGTAATTATTTTGTTAACTTTTTAATTGCGAAAACTGTGTTTTTTAACGGCATTAAAGTAAATATTACTACTAGAATATAGCTTTCATAATTAATTAAATTAAATTTATTCTGATCTAGTCTTTGTCCAGCACAGTTATTTATTTTATTATTTTAGCTACTCTACTAATATAAAGTAGTATTCCAATACTAATTAGTCATTAGTATACATGGTCATAATTTCTAAATTTTAGATCAGAGTAATAGAATAAAACTATAGTAGAGCAAATGTTGCCAATAAATTATAAATCTAAAAGATCTACATTAGTCAATGAATGTTATTTGTAAAAATGAATAAGAACAACAGTATTTTATAATTATATATGCCGTGGTTTATTATGTAGACACAAAGTATAAACAATTATTTGTGATGCAAGTATCATCTCTAGGAACACAATGCAGAGAATATGTCGCTACTTCGTCCCTAGGCATTGCACGTATGGTTGGGCTTGAATTACACGGTAGTCGGGCTTTCGAAGACACTTAATTGGGGTTTATTAAAGTAATTAATATCTGCCTTACACAAGCGATGCTTATTTTTTGGGGGTAAATTAAAATAATCGGAAAGAATGTATTGTTATGTACAGTGGTGTATTACAGGGAGGGGGGGTCGGGTTTAAACCCCCCAGAGCCAAAAAAAATTGTGTTTTAAGTAATATATTATAGGTATTTATTATATAACTGTTACAATGTTACTCTCTGAAGTAATTTAGAACTTGAAGTAAATAAATAATAATTGAATAATTATATTTTAATTATTAAGTGTTAAGGGGAATTGCGGCTACCTAAGTAAGAATTAAAATATCTTCGGAACTATAAGTCCAGAAATTTCGTTATTCTTTAGACCTTCAACAACTATAAACTCAATTTGAAAAAACTTCTCTGGTGCTTAAAATTCGATATAGGAGGGGGGAGGGAGGGGTTGAGGACAATTTTTTCCTTGTACATAATACGTGTTATTATATTATATATCGTATAGAATAATTTCATATATTGTTATAAAAGGATAGTCATCGTTCGACTATAAACGTATTTTGTGGAATAGGAATTAGAATAAATAGTACATTTAATAAAACTACATATACGAATATTGTGGTTTTTAAAATAATATATAATCTATAGTCCTGTAATAAAATAAAATTACATGTAATATATTTTTATTTAGTAATAAAAATGACAGTAACGTATAATAATATGTAAAATACCCTATTAGCTCCATGTAAAAGTCGGCCTCCGGGCAAATGGTGGCGCTATCTACGTGACAAAATTGTACTACCAAAATGCCGTAATTTCTTGACCCACTGATTTGGTTGGAGTGGCGTCACCTTATCTTCTCTACATCGTGATTGCGGATTTAAAAAAAAATGTAATGTCTATTAAATTCGACACGAGCACATATTATTATAGTATACTATTTGGGTTTAGCAAAGGTTATAAATTCAAAAATTCTTTATAACTATTTAATTCAAATAATGGGATAGTTTTGCCGCCAAAAATATTTCTTTCACATTTACAATGCTTACTATTATAATAACGATTGATGTACTTATTTAAATATATTTGATTAAGTTGGAATATCATTAGTTTTCTCTTAAATATGTTTCAGAAACGCTTTAAAAATATTTTACACAGGGTATTTAGATTGACGCGGTTTGCATGTATCGCGGATATAACTTGGGTTCTCCTTGGAAATATCTTATCACTTGTTTACATACCACCACTTGCTGATAACATGGCACATCGGCATAACAACAGAATGACATAATATTACATTTAATATTTATTAAATTATAATTTTTTTATAATGCTCGTCAGTCGTCAATCGTCATTCCGCATAATAAAATCGAAAATAAAATAATTTGAATTTCAGCATATAATTTAATAAAACAAACAAAATTTAATTCACAAGAAATGATTGATAAAAAATATTACTTGAAGTGTATACCATATGATTTCAGAGTTCCCTCGTTAAAAGAAACAATATTAGTACCAATACACACTCCTGCCTTGGCAGCCCATTGCCACTGTTTTTTTTCAGCGTCATAAATTTCGCAATAAATTCTTCCACCTTCATTGACAAATAAGAATATATCGTTCCCCTTATTCACAAAACCTGAATTTCAAAATTATGAATAAAATAAAAACAAAAATGTACTTGAATTATTAATGTATACAGACTTGATGTTGCATAAGATGTTTTCAAGTGCGTTTTAGGCATTTCGCTCCATTTGGAATGTCGTAAATCAAATTTAAAAACTCGTTGAGATTCACAAACGCCGCCAATGATATAAATGTAGTTTTCTATTATCGTTACACCCATCGTGGAATTACATATCGGCATAGGATCGAATTGTTTCCAATTTTTTTTCGCAAAATCATAGCATTCTACAGTTGAAAGATCAGCTCCATTCTTTCCGCCAAACTACATAGACCAATAAAACTTAATTAAATTCTTACAAATCATAATTACTTAGAAAAATTAATATTTTTAAAAAATTTTAGCTTATAATAATTAATAAAACAAAGGTAAGGCAACTTTTTTTAGCAAGGTTTTTGCGATAAAATTGTACCCATTTACTTACAACATATAAATCATCATTATTGGTTATAGCACTGCACCAGCGTCGAGCCGTGGGCATTGTTTTGATAATTTCCGTCCATACTTTCGAATTTGTATCGTAGTATTCCACTGAATTAAAACAATTACCATATGAGAAATCGCAGCCCCCAACCTAAAAAAAAAATTAATATAAAACATTGTTAATTTTTTATGTAAACTACAACCTTGATTCATACACACAACATATATGTATTGCTTTCGAGTGCAGACAGCAAAATCAAATTGGGGTCGATTAAGTGGTTTTGTAGGAACCCATTGTTTTTTTGACGTCGACTTAAGGTCTAGTTCATCGATGAGATTTACCCAATGACCAGATTCTTTTTTACCACCAATCGCAAGTATTATTCCATTTTCAGAGGCTACCATCCTCGAGTATGCTCGTGGTGGACAAAACAATAAATTATCACTCGATTGCCATTTTAAGTGATCTTTGTATCTAATATCCATATGCCATATACATTACACTGGAATTGCCACTATTTGAATTGATTGCAAAAATAATCTAAATACACACACAAAATGTCAGGTGATTTAAGGTATAACCAAACCTAATAACATTGTAAAACTCAATTTTTTTTTTTACATACGTTGTGCCGAATAGAATGATTTCTGCCTAACGTACTCGAAGTTTTTGAATTGACGAATATGTTGATAATATCATCTAATATGTCTCTTATAACTAAAATAAATAAAAAATAAATTATAACTGTGATTGAAAGTTTATAAAATAATTCATTATTGACATCCAAATAGTATTAAGAACAAAAATAAAAGGCAACAATGTGGTGAAAATGCTGAAACTGATTGAAACATCAATGTATACTTACTATCAATGTTACTTCTCACTAACGGCTCATTGCAAATCCGTTGTAGGCCTTCTTTCGAAATTAAATGCCAACGTAAGAGTTTCATAAGATTCGGTAACAAGCAATTTCGTTCGTATGTGTTATAGCTTATCCATCCAATAATAAAATCAAATATCTAAAATAAATTTGTATAATAATTTTTTTAGTTGGTAATTGTTTTAAAACCATAATTTAAATTATTTTTTTCCATAATTAAGTTAAATTTAAAATACATTATTTGACAAGTATTTCTACATTTAACATAGAACTATAAATACCTTTTCCTAGGTGTCAACTACCAAATCGTCATGTTTAATAAACTTAATGACAGCATCAATAGGAAATTCATATAGTTGTTCTAATGTCGACTGCGTGTTCACAATTATACTATAAAAAATTATTTGATTATTTTTAAATTTGTTGCTATCGCAAGTCAAACTTGATTACTCACGTGAAATTGTTTATAAAATAAGACCAACAAAAATTGTAAATTTCTTTGTCCGATATTGATTCTAAAGTCTTAATCAAATTAACACAATTTGTAGGATTTATGTTTTCTTGAATATACTTAAAACACAATTCTTTTACATATCCTAGATCATACAATGAAGCAGCCATCAACAGTTTCTAAACAAAATAATGAAAGATAGACAACAATAGATTAATTATAACATTATATTTTATAAATTGTCTATACTATTGGGTAATCATTACTTCAACATTATTTTCTTTAATGTCAACTTTAAATGTGTATGCAAATTTGACAATTAATTCTAAGACCTCAAAGTCTATTTTTTGCAAAGGAACACAATTTTCTTTACTGTCATTGAATGACGGTATAGTTAACACGGCTTGCAGAAGCTAGTACAATTTTATGTGCCGGAATATGTAAACCTTCACGGCTTACCAAAGTTACATCACAAAATACTTGCTCCCTAGAAAGATGTAACAAAATGTCAATAATATGTGTTTAGCTTAAGTAAAAGGCTTCGAGGGCAGTTTATATTATTAATAATGGAACAAAAAAATTGGTTATAATTGATAAATTTAAAGAGTTTATAAACTTATGACTTACTGAATAAAACTTACTGATAAAATTTTTGAAGTATTCTGCTATAAATACTTCCATATTTGTTGTACTTGATTTACAGTCTTTAGGTAAACTCGTACAAACGTACTTAATCGGTATTAGTTTGTTGGAAGTTGTTAAATAACTACCCTAAAACATATTCCAGTTACCAAATAAAATTAGTTTGCTATTCAAAAGACGAGGTAAAATAAAAGATTTTTTAATAAAGGCATTGTTTTAAATACCGCAATAATTATAAAAATACGAGTTATTTAAAGCCAAATTACTACTAAATGCTAAGAATTAAAATACTCAAAAAACGGGCCCATATAAATTCAACCGTTGGGTTACAACAATTATCAGCAAAATAATAATGCATATTTTACCAGAAAATACTTTTTTAGGTAGGTATTTTTGTTAATAAGTAAATTACGTTTCAATATGTATTACGAAAATACTGATATAGACGCATGCCCTCGTAGTTTTATATAATGCGGCACTACATTTGTCTCGTGCGTATTATGAAAATGATGCTTCATTCATTGTTATGGAATTTTGCAGTAAATTATGCGTTATTGAAAAATGAAGTATTCTCTATTTTGAAAAATCACTAATCATAACGGATTAGTGTAAACTGATTGAAATTAATTCAGGAAACTATTTTGATGGGACAGTTTAAAAAAAAAAAATCATTGAAATACGCTTTGCCGTTTAATACCCCGTGTAAATAGGTACCATATTGCAATATAATATACAATATTATGTCTTACCCGTCAATAATTTTTCATTAAAATAAAAGCTTCTATCTTTGTATCGTTAGTTCAAAACGAAGAAAATGTAAATTTACGAATATCGTTTAAACTCTATAATTAATGCAGTTACAAATTAGAATAAATTAATTTGTGCAAACACTTACTTTTCTGTTTTGTAGTTTTCTAAAAAGTTAAAATTAAATAGGGTAATTTATCAATCAAACCACAATATGCATCCAGCATCGGAAACCACCAGTTTTATGAAAAAGCAGAAGAACATCATTAATATTTTAAAATGTATATAATTCTATTGTCTTCATGTTATTATCCCAATATACCTATATAAACCGTATTAGCCGAGCACGTGGGGGAAATATTCCCAAGGAGGTCCCAAATAGTCGTGTAACTGTAATTTATAATAATTCTGTTGTATGAATTTGTTATTATGTGAGAAGATAATTATCACACAAAAACGCGGCGACCGTCTTCTTAAGCTTACACTTTATATACTTATCTATGATTACACCGCTGTAATGTTACCACTATTATTATTTGTTTTTGTATAGGGCACTTTTTTGTTTACACTAAAAGTAACCCTTCTGCCAGAGATGAGATATAAGTTTTAAATATCTAATCTGTGCTTCTGCTTTTATCTACTCTGTGCCTTGTGATTGTAGGTAAATCACTGAATTACTAGAAGCAAATCTGGCATATCCGAGGTCAATGAAGTTTAGGTCGGCTCCATCAGGCGACAATGTTAAACGGGTAAACCGATGAGTCAGCAGCTGTTTAATCAAAACACCAATTGCCAATTCGCTTTGACTTAGAAAAAATAAATAAATAAAAAGAGCCAGCCCTATTCAACTAAGTCCCTAATAAATTTATCGGATAAAGTTTTATATTGTAAGCCTTTTTTTTGGAATTTAAATTTGGTTCAATTCTTGTGTGTGACGCATACATTTCATAATACTCAACTCGATGAATTTGGATTTTATTGAATAAGGCCCACGCTTTTCTTTTCAGCCAAAAATTAAAGATGTTTGACATTTTTTAAAATTGTAGTTAATTTTCGGTTGTTTTCAAAGTAATTGACATTAAAAAAAAAAAAAACGTGCTACAGTTGATTAGTAAATTGTTCTTGTAGTAAAAATTATTTTTTACTTTTTAGTTCACATTTTTGAATATTTTTTAGAAAAGCATGTTTTTTTAAATTATTTACTTAACTTTTTACTTTTTAGTTTTATTGAAGTACTTAATAATTGTGAATAGTTAACTAAATTTATTTTGCAAAATCTGAAAAAACACATGAAATTTTAGTGAAACAAATTTTTTATTTTTTTGCTTCTTTTAGGTGAAAAAATTGCAAATTTAATTTATTTAGCTACAAGGAACTGAAATGTTTAAATAAATATCGGCTTTCTACATTATATAGTAAAGTAGCCGAAGAAAGTCCAGAATTGAAATTGGGCCGTCCTGTGTAGTCGAAATTTCGTCTAGCTTTTTGATCTAAAACGAACCAAAATTTCTTTTACTCATAGAAAAAATGATTTAAGTTAAGAAAATAATACCTTGAAGCTTTTACAAATTAACCGGTAAATTAATTGGCCCGTTCAAAAACCACTATTTTCTTAAATATTGCCTATACAAAACTCCTTAAAAATCAACCGCATGCAATCCCCCAAAGGGGCCTGGCTGCTGCGATTAATTAAGGGGCATTGTATAGGCAACTCTTTTTCATTAAAACTTAACATTTATGCGAAAATTTGTTAACATATAATATATATGTTAACAAAAGAAAGAGGTGACTATTTTGATGTTTAATTATATTATGCACAGGATGATGGAAATGCCAAGGGTCTATTATTCAACAGCCATGTAAGGGTAGGGGGTATGCTTGCTCTCCTTCCCAAGTACATAGACTTGTACTTGTAAGTAAGTATTACCGACAAGTTTGATGATTCAATCCTGAGGCGTTCACCCGTTTGAAATGTGTATGACGTGTTTGTTCTATTCTGTATGGCTTCGCAACAGACTTAGCCGAGAAAGAAAATGTAAAGAAGGCCCCGACAATAGCTGATAATATGGATTCACTATATTGTACGGCCTTGTACAAAAATCAAAATTTTCCTTAACAGGTACAGGGGGGCAGTATGGGTACCCAAGTATTGTTGTCCGAAACGTAAGTAGATATCTTGTGCGCGAATTCATTCATTTTGTATTGTTACCGGTGATCTATATGGGAATATAATATATATTGGATAATACGAGACGGCCGACAAGACGAACAAGTGCTCGGTTAACGTTATTGTTAACTTAACAATAATAATCATAAGAATAATAATTATTCCTATACTTGTATATCTGTGTATAGCGTTTCCTTAGCCACTCGGGTTACACACGCACACATAGAAAATAAATGGCGGCGAGCACAAACGGTTTTCGGCGAACCGTTTTAATACACTATACTCTACAAACGTCTTGGACCATATTATTATTATTAAACGTTTCTTTTAAATAAATCCGAGGTGTGGCCCTTTTTTTATTTTTCAAAAGAAACCCCATTGAACGAAATCGTCGACGGACCTGTGTAAACACACCGCCGGTGTTCCGATTGTTGTCGTTGTGTTCGGATCGGTTCACAATAGCTTCGCGTTCGACTATTGTGTAATAATTAAAAAAAACAACGAAAAGAAATCCCATAGACTTGCTGTGGTATTCAAACCGTCAAGTGGAACGTTTTCTACATCAAGACTTGGACCGTCCGATAGGCAATAAAAGTATAATAGCATCTTTGCAAAGTCATCTCAGCAAACGGACAGATTGATGAAAATTAAAAGATCAAACGCTACTGTTTCAGATAACAGTTTAAATGTTGTCCAATATTGTAAAATGTCATAAAGTAAAGTGCATCTTAGAATAAAAACTAAAAAATTACAATTAATTTAAGAGAAAATGAGTGTCTTATCCTTAATGAATCATCCTGTATACGTTGACAGTGTGATAAATCCGTTTCTCATAGGACCATATCTAGGTAAATATTTTAGTATATATTTTTCAATACTTTGAAAACTTCCATCTTTATCATATTTTATCATTATCTTTATACTTGTAGAACAAGTATGAATCTTCTTTTTCTTTCTAACGGAAAAATATGTTTTTAATTCTATAACTCTGTAGACAACATTGGTTTAAAATGGTAACGTTTGAACTTATAAAATTCATACTTGTGTTTGCACAAGTCCGATAGGCGATAACATTGATAACGAGACACAATACAATGTTATACGATTATATGATAGACAAGCGGTCTTATCCACCTATTCAAACACATTGGCGGCTACTGGTTTTTGAATTGATGACATATTTTATAACGATTGTATTTCTATTGAAAAATTAAGTAAAATTTGTGCCTACAAGTATAGGAAACTAATCAGATTGATCGTCCTTTACAAGAGAGACTAACAAATAAATTTAAAAAAATTTAAAAAGCCAGTCAAATAGGGTCAGGCGGCAGTGTGGGTTTTCAGAAATTATTATTACAACCGAAAGTGATGCCAATGTGTTGGTGGTTTGAATGCCGATAAAAGCGTTGTGAACACAAAAATGTGTTTAGTTTTTATTTGAATTTTAGTATTAGGGTCCATCGTCAGCCTTTCTTAACAATTATTCGTTGACGACCAAGCGTTAAAACTCACTTAAATGCAAGCATTATAAGTATGTTTCCAGATAAGAAATATTCTTATGTATGATTACTGAAAAGTATATTTATACATTTAAAGGTAAAAAATAAAAATATAAGTATAAAATTTAAATTATAAGTACAAAACTTTATTTATATATGCTTCCTTCAAGATCAAAATGTAATTTTAATTGAATTTTAATTTAAACATAATAAAAAAGGCAAATATAATTTTTGAGATCCATGAATATTGCTTTTAGTAATTTATAAGGGGAGGTCACACTGATGGAGTGACGGATTTTCTGCGTTGATTTTCTAATTTGGCGTAAAATTAAAAAAAGTTATTAACAATTTGTTGTATAAACCATATTTCCATTATTTAAACATATTGCATTCTTATCCATATCATTATGATATTCATATGTTTATAACATATTTAAAAAAATAATGAAAACATATTTGACAGCTTTTAGAAAATATTAAATTAATTTGCTTGATGGGATTAGTAAATGAAATAATAAAAATATTACATAATAACAATTGGCTCAGTGCATAAGCATTTAAGTTTTCATTGTATTTAAAATATTTCTCTAAGTAAAACTTACGTTTATGTAGGTATAAAAACAATAGGTAATTTCTTCAATTTTCATAGCAACTGTTTTAGTAAAAGGCGGTAATAAATAATAATCTATGTAATTATGTATTTGGTTGTCAAGGCCACTTTGCTCGGCCGTTGTCTAGGTACAATTGATCAACAAGATGTTTTTTGCTATTGCCGTTTTAAGTTGGCGCTACTCGGATATCACTGCTAAACTTTTTACGAATTTCGTCGTTTAAATGCGTTTAATTGTCATTTACCTGTCACCATTGCATTCTATACAGTGTTCTCTACACGCTACAGTCAGATATTTTGCTAAACAAATTATTCAAGATGCCTGAAAAGTTATCGATCGTCGTTTCTGGCCTTTCCCCTTCGGATGTATTGAGGATGAATAAGGAATCGGTAAGGAAATTATTATGCTACCTATTTTAATTTTGGCTATACAATTGTTTTTTTTATACACCTTATAGCTTTACATTTTGTTTGATATTTATGCGCATTCGTTAACATGGTTACAGTTAGTTAGATAATGTTTTAGACACTAAAAAAACGTAATGCGACAACCAAATTTTTTTTGGTTGGCAACAACTGATTGATAATAATAATAATAGAAGAATGTTTATTAAAGTGAACTGTTCAGCAGGTTGTCAATGTGATATAGTATAAGAATCAGATGAGTTGCCGTTTTAAAAAACGATTATAGAAATCTAAATGATAAAATAAAATATTATAAATTTAAACTAAGAAAATAAGAATTTAAAAACTAGTATAGGAAATTTAAACGATTAACTGACAATTTGGTAAAATATCAGTTTCAATAGGTAACTATACCTATTGAAATGATAAAAATTCATAAACATGTAATACAATTTCATGTACTTAACACTATTAGGTTAAGGACACACTAGGACAATGCATCAAAAAAGAGAACTGTCCTAGTAAAAAAAGAGTAGGTACGTCTGGTCACCATAATTATTATAAGAGATACATACCGAGTGTCTGAGTGTCTTATGTGCATGCTTAATGAATCACCCTGTAAACAGTTGGATTTTATAATACAATAATAATAATAATAATAACATGATAATCATCATCCGCCGGCGAACGTGTCGCACCGTATCCGTTTCAGTGTAAAAATAAATGAAGCGTACCCGTGCGCGGCAAGTTATTTTTAGCTTGGCCCTAACTGCGCGGCTACACACAGATGGCGTGACAGGTCGGGAGTCTTGGGCATTGCCAGGTAAAGGCGGCGACCCAAACCAGAACGGCGGCCGCCCCGTCGAGCACATGTTCGGGTTTCAGTATCGCGTGCTTAGGCTACCGGCTATGACACTCCTGCCGTCGGTTAACCGCAGTTGCTTCCATATCGTACCAACATAATATACGTTGAATTCGGGGTTTTGCTTAAATTTCAAATTTATTTTTTACTAATATTCAATTTTCTATTTTACCATGCGCGTTAAAAATAAAATTACTACCGTACAACAATAGACCGGTGCCGGTGACAAAATGTTCGTAGACCGATTTTGTTTTTGTTTGTTTACCTGTTTGACAATCCTAGGACTCGGACGCTACACAAACGCTGATAAAGGTAAATAATATGTACTTCAGGTTTTTTAAAAATAGTTTTATATGTCCCATTTATGTCTTTTTGGGGTTTAAATGAACCGTTTATTTATGAATGAAGATGTCAAATTCGTATGATAGTGTTCTCATTTGATTATAGGGCGATTCAAACGTTTACAACGAACGTTCCTAAATATATAAATGATTTATATGTTTTTATAAACATTTGTTTGAAAGTCATAATAAATTACAATATTGGTAAAGTAGTTGTGGTTTACATAATTCTATTGCATACATTCCCGTTTATGGTTTAGTAATTTTATGCATGAAAAGAGTTAAGTAACTCATTTGTTCATGAAAAGGGTCAAATTCGTTTAGTTAAAACTCTTACTGTTGGTGAAAAAATAAATTTGAACTAATTTTAATAAATATAGTGCATACGAATTACAAATATTTTTTAAAACTTCAAATAAAATTATATATGAAATTCGGTTATTTTTAATTTACCAAAAGTTTAACTTTTTAGACTAAACCTCTTTCTTAAAAAATCGAATAAATTTAAAACTGTAATTTTTCGCTCGCATTTATTATTCCTTATTTAAAAATATGTATAAATCGACATAAGAAATTAAAATTAAAATTGTATTTTTTCTTAATGAGTGTACGTTATTAAATTTACAATTGCAATTGATTTAATAAATAATTAAATAATTTCAATCCATGATAGCGTGTGAGCTTTTGATCTTAGTTAGCTTTAAATTTAAAGTCATAATTAATTTTTCAAGTATAGGAATACAAAATACATTTTTGTTTTTTTTTGGAACAAGAACCCAAATCACTTTTTTGTTATTCGCTTCAGTTTATTTTTAAAATCAATGTTGTAAACAAATTATTTAACAAAAATAAAACATTTGTGATGTCATTTCGGGCGTTTATAAAAAAAAGAACTACAAATTGTACACAATGTTGTTGTAATAGACCAGTTCTGAATAATTTAGCGAAAAAGAAAAATATAATAAAATACTCTATTTGTAAACAATTTTACAAAATTAACCTAGTTAGTTAAAACAAATAATCACAAGGAACTTCATAAAACCAATAGTTATCTCAACAGTTTAAAGTCAATAGGTAGCTGGTGGGTGTGTGTTGTTGTGTAAATATAAAACTTCAAAACGACGCACAATACCAAATATTTGGCACGATTTATCGAACCTAAAACCAAATCATCAAAGAAAAAATAGGTTTATATTTTGCTTGGAAAATGTTTTAAAATGCTAAATAAGTCGGCACACGACGTCAGGTTTTTCAAAAATAATTTTTGGTTGTACATAAATACATGAATTGTTCGTCTAAATAGATAAACAAAAATTATATGGATATATTTTTATTTTTTATTATTAACTATTTTATTGTAATTTTAAAATGTTATAAATATTATTATTATTTATATGCAAAGCACAAACGGATACACATACTTTGATTTTAAGTGCAAAATAAAAGCGAGTATACATTTTTTTTTTCACAGCTCAGATAATATTATCCGGTGCAATGTACAACAATTTAGTAGTAATTAACAGACGCTATATCATATTGTTAATGTAGAACAAATTGGTGTTCTTCGATATTATTGTCCAAGTAGAATAGTTACGTCACGGTTTTTAATTGGTCGTTTAATATTAATCATAAAATATTTTGTCATTTTTTCTTTTTGTTGCATTATTTAACTGTAAAAATACATTTATTCGAGTAGGTTTTTAATAAAAGAATATCATACAAGACAAAATAATTAGTTAGCACTAATTGTTATGAGTTCAGATTTTAATGCAACGCCTGAGACTCTGAGAGTGTTGGAATTAGGTTAAAAACAAAAAAGTCGCAGGTCTGTGTAAATATTAAAGAATTTAAAGAACATATTATCTTAATTGCAGAGGTACTAATAAAAACATATTATTAAATAGAAGGCAGTTCTTTAAGCCCCTAAACAATAACAGTGTGTATGACCGCATGTCACTGTACCTATCCTCAATATTTAAAAACTAATTGATAGTATATACTATTTTGCTATATTGTTGGCATATACTATATTTGAAAAATTCTACTAAGCATCTACGCTTTCTCTAAAATGTCTGTAATTAGAGAACTTTTTTTTAAAGTCATAGTTTTTGATTATAAGATGTATATATACACAGGATGATTTTTCTGTCTAGTCAATGGACAAAGTTCTGGACCACTCAATATCTCACTGGATTTAATTAATAATTTTTTTTTTTTTTCATATTGTTTTTATATAACATGAATAACATTAGAGTTTCTTAATTTAACAAAAACAAACAGAATTAAATAAAATAACGGATTAATAGAGTTTTTTTTTTTAAAAATTACTGAATACACCCTCCGTTTGGGACTAGATTCCTTTAAAAGCTTTTGGGGGTGTTCTAATAGTGCTTTATTGGCCAAAAACACTAAACGATGATGAAAAAAACACTTACCATAAAACCCAAAAGGGTAGATATTCTTTATATTTTTGGAAAAAATCTACAACTTTTGCGAGCAATATAACGCAAAAAGCGTGTGTAACACAAACACTATACCTCTCGTGATTTATTTATTTATATATTTTTTTAAAACATTTTTGCCAGGACTCTTTCTTGACGTCGGCAGTGCGTTCTGTGTGTGTCGAATTTCCAAAATGCCTACCCAACACGTTTCTCGGGTTATTTTACTGCACAAGTGTAATATACACACGCGGTTCGAGTGAATTATATTAGTATACATATATAACGCACTATTGAACCGTATGTATAACAAAAAACAGACGTTGAAATATCTAGAAGAAGAAAAATATACAAAACATGTGCTATCGGTCGAGTGCAATCTTGGCCGGAACGGTGTATATTTTTTTCCTCCAACACAAATAACCATAAAACATCGGTAATGAGAATATATTTTAAACTTTTAAAAAAAATACCCGTTTCGGATTGAAAAACACTCTAGTTCGTTTCGGTTCAAACCAACAGTAATAGGCTGTTTTTTAAGTTTATTTTGATTTTCCACTTTCCTGCTAAAACAAAATTGGCTTTAGCCCATAACTACTGATTTAGGCTCATTTATACTTAATAATTTAATTAACGTCATCTATATACATTTTGTTTGCTAATGATTATAAATTACAAATTATGTTCTTTTTTTTTTATTGATACCATTTATAATTTATAATCTGTAATTTATTTATTTGTATGCTACGCTCTTGGCTTCGGGGCGTTAAATTTATTATTATTATTATTATTAAAATCGATGTACTTTTAAAACAAAAAGGTTTTATCTAAGACTTCTATCTATGATTTTCTATTTAAAACTATGTTGTCAGCAATAGCTTCCATGTAATATTTGATTTTTAGTATTTGTACTAAAGAATTCCTACAGAACTATTTGATTCCAAGTTTAGTTTTATCAAGGACAATGACAAGCCTTCAAATTGTCTTTAATTTTTTTTCCATAAACTAACATCGACGCAATCCTAAGAACATATTGAAAGTATAATTTTTTTTTTTTTTACTGCCTCGCGTCAAGTGTTATAAAATTCGTTCGCGAATGACATCACTTGGCCCCGGCAGTCGTCGAATAAATTTGAATAGCAATACAAACCAGTGTACATAATATATTAATATTGTAAGTGTCGTGTTGTAGTTTTTTATTTTATTTTTTAGAAAATTATGTCTTGTGTGTAAAAGTAAATATTATACCGTCGACGTCCACACAAACAGTATAATATAATATTTATTATATGTAAATAATATATGCGCGTTAATAACATAATAATATAATATTTTTAATTTAAACGATTTAAATTAAATTATTTTTGTATTTTTTTTTTGTTGACAGCCAAGTGTTGCGGCCGCGTTACCGGCAACTGTAAGAGATCCTGCGAACAAGTGAGTAGTAAACTATAATGTTATTTTGACTTTATTTATAATAATATTGTAGTAACACGATCCAAACACACAAATGACACTTATGAGGTTGTACAATGTGATATGATGTGAAAACGAATTCGCTCGTTTTTTGTCGACGGTCCAAGTCTTGTGCGCGCGACGTGAATTGTCATTGCTCGCTCGGTAAAGTGGTGGAAATAAATAGGTTTTTTTAATAGATATTTTTTTTTTCTAACGCCAAGACACGGCTCTCGTTGTGCATTATAATATATTTTTCACTTGTCCGACAATTCCAAGTTGTTGTTCTTTCACTCTTGGTCGCGTCACACAGGTACAATAAACATCAAAAGACTCGGACAGCGGTGAAATATGCCTAGGTTATATTATTATTATATTATATATGTGTACAAACAATGCTGAGGACGAATTCCCATCCCACCCCGGTAGAGCACGATTTGAATTACATGCACTATAATACCTTTAATATCATATATGTGCACTCTGAAACAATAAAAAGAAAAATGTACTTGCGCGACTCATCTGTAAACACCTGGTGATGTTTTTTTTTTTGCACGTTTTCCGTGAATCGTGTTTTAACACCTTGTTAAGACTTGAAGACGGAATGACGACCTCGCAGGACTATAGTAGATACAATAAAAAAAATAACATTAGGTGCTAAATCTTTTGTGTTAAGATATTTCCATTAAGACAACGTAACGTTATCAATTATAATATTCTCATACAAGACGTTGACAGTTTACAGCTAGTGATGTATTACATATATTATTTTCAGGCGACTAGTGATAGTAAGTGCTAGATCGTTTTTTTTTGTAATTTACTTTATATGTAAACTGTGTAAACTGGATCCATTTGACTTGAATGGTTTAAACAAAAAACTTTCCCACTACAATGTAATACCAATAATGTCTGTATAGTGTATATTGTACATGACATTATAATGTTTCATCAACAATGAGGCTCCGCTCCAATTTTTAATATCTATTCCAATATTGTTTGTCAATTATAATTCAAGCGGGGTTTATTTGCAAATGACCTTTCGCGTTACACTTGCCTTTCTAAACGTTACATAAACGTATGCACGGACACGCATTGATGAATAAGACAATGAACAGATCAGAGTATGCATTTACAACACTGTTCGACTAAGACGAATCGTTAAAATTAAAAAAAAACTAGCAAGGATTTTATGTACATCATAAAATCATTCGGACGTTTATAACCCTTTGATGCAAAATTTTTTTTTATATAGATTAAATTATCAGGAATTTAGGGAAAAATAAGTAAAAAATCACATAACTAAACAAAATTATCTTTTATAACTGTTATCTGTTAGATAGCAATTTCTTTAATAATATTAGGGCGCCATCTGTATATTAAATATATTTCTTGTAACAAAATGAAATTATGTAATAAACATTTTGTATTTCTGCAACAATGAGCACTGAAGGGATGAGTGTCATTTACATTTTTTTCTCAAATGAACACAAGACACCGTATAACCGTGTTTACCGTATCACTTTCAATATCAAAACAAGACATCATTTTTTAGATTAGCCTCGACGCGAAACTGAGAATAATATTGTTTTTTTTTGGGCCAAAAATTAAAAAGTTCACCCCTTCCCCTTGAAAATATTTAAGTTGCCGTGTAAATGAATAGCCAATGGGTATCTAACAAATATTTTCATTATGTCGTTAATTTATTATTGATAGACGATTAATCCTTAATAGTATCCACCCTAATATTTAAAACAAATTTTAGCTTTTACAATGTGTTTATCGATTTTTGTATTCAAACTAAATCAAACCGTCCACATATTTGTATTAAAGCGTTTATTATTTGAAAGTGATTTTATCAATTAAACCCACTACACCGGCTTTTTATTATTATTTTTTTACAACGCAATTTTTCCTTTAAATATATTTATAACAATAACAATATACTAAAACGATCAAACGTACACGTTTAATAGTTACTATGGTGTTTATAATTTATAAATTCATCTGTATATACAAATAGGATTTATTATCGAATCTCTGGCCATAAAACGGGGTTTCGTCGTATGTAGGATTGTGTTTCAAAAGGAATCATTAAGATGTGTAATAAAATGATTTTACCGTGTCGAAAAAAGTCGGTTTGCGTTTAGATTTTCTCTTATGAGTTATTGATAAAGATAAAAACAGTATGGTCTGGCCGGATCTGTCTATGAGTGAGCGATGGGAGTCTATGCGAACTAGGCCAATTTTGAAGTCATCTCGACCGGTGCCGCTGCCTTGGGAGGGTTCGCCTTGTTTGTAATCACTGAACTCTATATGTGGAACGCGCATTGCCTATTTAGTCGGCTGTTCATGAAAATGTCTCCTACTAGTGGGAGTCCGCCATGTTGTGAACGGTTATTGTTTTTTTTCCATGATCAATTGGCCAATTAAAATTGTAGAGATAACAATTCAATATGTATCATGGAAAAGTAACTTGGTATTTTTATTTCCCATGAAAATATGTAAACAACATGGCTGCATCTCAGGTCGGGACATTTATTTAACCCTGTATGTGTGTTTCAAGTACCTACAGAGTTCAGTGTTTATAAACTGTTTTGGAAATATATAAGAGGCAAGTCGGACGATGTAAGATAATATGTAGATTATTATCGATCACGCCGATTGGAATTGGACCTGATGTAGAATACTAATAAATACTTTTAAAATGCCACCATAAGGTGTGACGGGCTTATCTGTAAACAGCTGCCAAACGATAAAAATGTGCATAACAACAACCGCGTTAGTGTTTACTCCTCATTAATAATCAATTACATTGGCCAAGAATGTGATTTGCATTGCTATATAGTAAAGTAAAAACTCGCTGGATGTAATATATTATAATTTTTAATTATAATAACATATAATAATATTATGTTAATACACTTTAGTTTGTATTCAGATAAATTATTACCAACTTACTGTAGATTTACCCTATTATATTAGGCTGCTCACGTGTTTTTTTTTTGGAATAATATAAAACTTAAAATTCCTATCGGACGTCTGTTGATTTCCGCCTAAACCGTGTATTGTGTAAACGCACGTGTTTGAATAAGAATCGTTTACCGTCGATATTATTATGTAAATTCCGTATATATTCTAAAATAAAGTACTGTGTTAAATCGTTATGACGGCGTTTTTTTATTAGTCTCCCCTCCCCATTTTTTTTTTGTAAACCTCTTTGACAATGTCCGACTCCGCAGGGATTTGCCGTGTGTAAGACAAGAGATATTATATAATATTTTTCAACAGAGTTAAGCCGCACGGTTGTTGGTAATTCAGCACACACATGTCCGGCTCCTTCGGTTCTGCACGTGGGAACCGAGTCGAATAGCTGAAAAAACATTGACACGTTTTCGAAATGCACATTACATTCTCAACACACCCGCACGAGGTTTGGTTTTTGGAATTCTTCTGTGGGATATTGTTGTCGCGTCGAAGGGGTGGCCGAGAAAAATATAATATAAATAATAATGTCACTTCAAAGTCGGAAACCGCGTAAAATTATTATTATTATAATGCAAATATTACAAACAACTTTGATGTCCAAATAGTAGAAAACAGTACATTACAGATTGGATAACTAAAGCCCTCCTAAATTTAGTGTGATCATATTCTAGAAATGAAATTGTTGTACAACAAATTTTATACTATAATAATATATATATCGGTGATAACTATCTGTACATTAAGTGATGCTCAGTTCTAAAACTATACCTAATTACTCATTGTTTTCATCATGTGGTTATCCTGAGTTGAGTAGACTTACAAGTGCAGGAATTACACAGCTTGAATTGGGAGTGCACATACGGGTTTTATCTAATATGTGATTATATTATTCTGGGTAGAATTTCCACCCGGTGTGCTTAATGATTCGTCCCTTTAAATAAATAACAGTATCCGGAACGAGGGGTATATTTTTAAATAGGCCCGACGCATTTGTTTTCACCCCGGTTGTGAAACGTGTCACTTCGGTAATACGTTAATGAGGTTCATGTGAAACGAACGGAGCAGTATAATAAATTGTACGCAATTAATAAGATTACGAGATCAGCAGCTGATTATCGTGAGTCAGAAAACTATATAACTATTAAGCGTCACCGGAAAGGCCTAATATGAGGCACAACCCAGAAATGACTGCACCTATGTACATTGTACATACAATGTCTGTATAAACATTAATTTTAAAATCAATGATACAAGTTCAATTTCTTAATTATTTACAAAAATAATCGTAAAAAATCTCAATCAGTCAACATGCCATTCGTAGTATTAATAGTTCATGAATTTATAAAAAAAAAATGTCTATGATAACTAATTTGATAGAGATTAAAAACACCAATCATCTCAGTTTAATGGTTGTTAAAATACTTGTCGGAGAAATGTTAAATGTATTTCCTTCTAAAATGGTATACCAAATGTTATGTGTATAATGTAATATATGCTTATCACTTTAGCTCGGATTAGCATTTTAAGTTGTATGTTTATTAATGGTTACAAGAATTATGTTTATAACGTTTTTATATTCATATATGCACAATATGTATTATGTATATTAATCAGAAACTCACGTGTAGTAAATTCATGTACAGGGTGATTCGTTAAGGACAACACACTCGTTTTCGTTTTAAGCAATTGCAATTTTTTAGTTTTTTTTCGGATGCACTAATCTTGATAACTAATCTTGATATTTAGTTAACGATCATGAAGATGACAGATGATCATAGTGCATATATGCACTAGATAGATTTTTGGGTTATTTTATGGTTAATTTTTTCAAAGTTCAAATGAGTTTGTCTACGTTAATAGTTTACGTTTAAGGTATTTTAACAAATTCCTCAAGGGCCTAACATAACCTTTTCTGCGTCGGTGGGCTTCTTCCCGAAAACTATTTTAAAGGAAATATTATAACATTTTCAGATGATGAAGTCAATAACACCTAGTTTTTTTTTTAAATTTTATGGAAATTATTTATATAGTTTTCACGTGCACGTTACCATTTCCCGTGTGTAAAACCTATACATTATAATATAGGAAGGAGCACGTATAAATCACGACACGACCCGGAGCTCGTTACAATATAATATATAAGTATATGGCAGAGGTGTGTGGCGGCAGCACCGGCTGTGCTTGTCTATATCGGATGTCTTAAATCACAACCGGGTCTCGGTAGAGTTAAGAAGGCAAACAAACAACGGGTGACTTGTAGTTGGCCAACCGCCAAAGTGTGTCCAATCGACGACTGCGACGTTTCAATTATTATTTATTGTTATTATTACCATCATCATCATGGCTGTTTCAATATCTTTCATTATATAATATACATATATTTGTTTACACGTATTTACCTTAAAAAACAAATAAAAAATAAAAATGTCCATATTTAAAAAAAAAAATTGTTTTGGCATGATTTCGACTAGAGTCGAGACAGTCTGCCGCCTATTGACAGTTGAAATTTCCAGAAATGATGCCAGAAGATGATATTATACGGATATGTTTCAAGTAGGTATTACTCAAAGTGGCAACATGTTGTATGGCTAGGTGCTTTCGTTTAGTGATGGGAAAATCCGGATGTTGCGAAGTTCAAAAAACCGGAGTTTTAAACTTCGAAATCCGGAGTTGTAGTATTCGAACTTCGAAATCCGGATTTCGAAATGTTCGTTATAAATCCGGATTTCAAAGTTCTCGTTATAAATCCGGATTACGAAGTTTTCATTTAAATCCGTAGATTGGATTTCAATTTTTTTACAATAATAAATTAATTATATTAGTTAATTATTTAATATTATGTACAACGTGTTTATGTACACAAAAATATTTAATTATTTAATTGGTAAATTAGGTATCTGTTTTTATAGTTATAAGAACATTATGTATAAACACGATTTACAAGTCTCAATGACACTTTTATAATAGATTAGAACAATAAGTTGTAATAATATGAAAAATACACAACACAATATATATATAATACATATATATATAAATGAGAAAAAATAAAAAAATACAGCATACTTACTTTGTATTTAAACTAGATTACTTATATGAAACTTAAAGTTCATTAGAAACATACAACTTAGGGTAATTTAGTTGAAGGGGTCCGATAATAGCATTTCATAGAGGATTAAAAGTCAACTAATTTGAACAATTTAGTCATCTTGTACTGCTGAATAAGTAATTACAAAATGGCTTTATGAATTTTAAAATCGGTAATTTGGCTTTTTATTTAAACCCAGGTTACGGTTTCTGAAGTTCAAATTTTGAAATCCGGATTTGTCATTAAACCCGGATTCTTCGTAAAATCCGGATTTTTTTCATTGAACTTCGAAAACCGAAAACCGAATTTTACGGATTTTAAGAAAATCCGGATTTATTTCCCATCACTACTTTCGTTATTAATCTCGGTTGCTAATAGGGAACTACTACCCTACACGAGATAATGTTATCCATCCGTTTATTAAGAAGTATAGTATAGGCAATTTAACGATTAATCTTAATTCACAGCTTACACTGTAGTGTATACTACATAATACAGTAACGTAGATTCTTTATTAGTTGTTTTGTTTTTTTTTTTGTGAGAAAACAAAAATAATTTTTTTTAAAAAAATCCCAACCAAAATGGTTTGTTGTAAAATCCTTAAATTTGCACAGTAAATATAGTTTTGAATAATTAAAAAATGTAATAAAATTTGAATTCTATAACAATCTTACAAAGATAGTTACAAAATTTACAGGCGTTTCATCATACCCAATGCGCGTTTGATTTATACTTTCTTGTTTCTAACAAAAAAAAAATTAAAAATTACTATACTACATAGTGTTTTGCCAGTAAATAAAGATAGTCATTGACGACAGGTGTATTTATTATTTATCTTTGGTCGGTGAGTTCGGTCCACGGGCTACGGACTAAATTATTTGAGTACAATAAAAACATCATAAAACCTCGTTTAATGTGTTATGTTTAACTTCTTTACTGTTTAGCTCTTCGCTTAGTCGGTGTTTTAAATATTTTATGCAAAACAATATCGCACTTATATTATTATGCAATTACGGAGATCGAGAGCGTTTGGACCTTGCACATTTCCAATTCAGCAAATAATAATCAATGTGTCTGTATGATAATGTTGTTAATGATCTTAATGTGCATTTTAGTGCACCGGAAAAGGTCAAACGTCCTAATTAACCCGATTAAGTGTAAACGTCTGAAAAAAACATCTAAATTGACGGTTGTAAAAAAAAACATTAGTACGTTTATTAGGTATTACAATATTTACGCATGCTTTGTACTCGGCAACGAAGTAATCAAAAAGACGAGCAACAGTTTGACCATCATTAAATTAAAAATAATAGTTTTTGCACAGCATAATTCTTATCTATAGAAAAATTCAAATTCCATATGATAATAATTGATAATGTGATAATATTATAATTGATAAGCAATATTTTTTTTGTATGTAACATGGTTGCTGTAGTGAACCAAATTACCGGAGAAATGTAATTTCATCGTTCTGGTCGGTCACACTGCAGCTCGCCTTTTCGCCTACTTTATAAATCAATTTTACTTATTGCGACCCGCTGGCGGGAAATGAGAAACATCATTATTATTTTTTAAACGGACACCGTTTGGTCGACGGGTGCCGTCGGAAATAGAAAACGGACTTAACGTCATGTGTGTATACGACTTGGGTACGACTTGAATGCATAAAGCACTAGAATTCCGGGCTTGCACAGCACCATAGCCGATTTCATATTATCATGTATATAATATGACACTTATCGATTGTGTGATCTATACAACGTTTGCTTGTATTATTCATCATCATACCAAACCGATTTGAATAATGCATAACGCGTAGGTATACGGCCAGCCGACGTCGTCTCTACCGCAGTAGTTAAATTGTAGGCGATTGTTGTTGTTTTTATAAAAAAAGTCCTCAATAAAAAACAGTGGTCGAGAGACGGCTAAAGGTTAATTGAAACGTCAAAACTCGCCTTGCCAGACGTGCGCAAGATGGTCGTGTCATACATACATACATATTCAATAACAATATAACCATAACCAAATTCTTCAATAATTGTAAATCTTAGGCCGCCAGTCGATTCCCCGCGCAAATTAACCTAAAACAGTGTGACCAACTTGATTTGGCTAAAAATATGTCATAATAGTTCTGTAAATAATGTTAACTAAGAATGAACCGCAGCTGACCTAAACCGGAGTGGCCACTATTGCGAAAAAAATAATTAATATTAATTTAGCGGGCATTAAGGTTTAATAATTTAAAAAAAAAACAATAAATTTAACAAGCGCCGGTGACATCTTTATTGATCTTGTAACCGCGACCGGCGTGGGACGATTAGTAACGCGATAGTAGGTATACCTATTTATATATGTATGTATATTTTTAGACTGACTGGTTATAATTTTTTTTCTTGCTCGTAAAAATTCTTGTCGTATTTAATTTTTACATAAACACATGCCGTCGGTAAGAGGACTGGTTTCGATATTATTATAATAATATATGTTTTAACGTGTACCGTGTAGAATTAATCGAATACGATAAACGCAATAAAAAATATAGTTGGTAATAATAATAAGTTGGTTTTGCATGATAATAATATTTAAATTTACCTTCTTTTTTGTACGTCGGTTTGCGGCGTGCGCGCTTAACGTTGATAAAATATATATTTAACGACATAATATTATTACAAGTATCAATTAAATTCGATAACAGTTAAAATAGTGTATTTTTGGACCTAATAAGTGTCCACCTCTCCTAAAGGGGAAGGTCTTTAATATTTTTTTTTATTTTTTTTTTTTTTTACATTATCTGTAATACTTATAATATTATAGTATGTTGTACCGTCGTTGCTATACCGACAATGTGACAAATACAACATGCAATAGGTATTAAATATTTAACGCTGTGACTTGCTCGTGTCATCACGCGAGACCGACAAAGTACATACATTTTTTGATATTTTCTTTTTATACAGTGGTGACAAATTAATTTCATCCAACTGTTCTATGGCGAACACCACGTGGCAATCGATCACGGCCAGATGTATTTTTAAATTTGTCTTAGTCGTATTTTTTTCATATTTTCAACAAGCGATTCCCATATTGTTAAAAAAAAATATATATATATATATGTTTAAAAATAACGTGACGGTTAGTTGGACTTTTTCGACCAGTTTTGGAATGGTTTGAAAAATCGATTGACTAAATTAGTTGAATTATAAATATTCTAAACATAAGTCAATCTGAAACATTATAAACTGTTGGCAGGAAATTAATTTCAGGTGGACCGAGGCATACTGAATTTGGCATTGAATGTTAGATTTAAAATTTAAAATTACTAAAATAAAAAAAATAATAAATAAATATATTAATTTATTTTTCTTTGGTTTTCAGTTGGCCGTCTTGCAAGAGTACCCAGAAGACAAAATAGCCGGACGAATCACGGACTTCTATCATCATTGCACGCCCAAAAATGTAAGACGCTTTTACACAAGAGTGATAATAATAATGATTATGTACAGTTAGAAAGTATCCAAATAATAAACGGCAATTCGTATGCAAAACAATATAACATGTAATACACGTTATAAAATCTTAAGAATATTCAAAATATCATATTAAGCCAGCGTACCGCGGTGAGATTTCTCTTGACATTTTATTTTTGTCTCAAATATTTGCGGCCAATGTAACCGAGTAATAAAAACCAGTTGTCGGATTTATAAAAATAAATAATATTTTTCGAAAAGGATTTAAAATATTTAATTTTTTTTTTTTTTACAAATCAACAATAAACCGGTTGGTGGTTAAGCGCGTTTACCGAAATACTTTTACCGTGTACTATACCCATTATATTATGTACATCTACTACCGTTGATTTTATACAAAATCAATGCTACCATTTTGGGGCTTACGGCCCACTCGTTTGTAAGTAATAACATCACAGAGTCATGTTTTCATGACAAGAAAATCTCCGCGGTTTGTTCCAAAGGCGTCGCAGTGCTAGGGTTTTCAAGTATAGCCAAGTATAATATAGTATAGTGTATATTATTATACGGTACACATGTCTGTTGAGAAGAAACACGACCCGACGGACACATGGCCCCCGCCGCGGCCGTTAAAGTCGTTTAATCCGACACCACCGGTGCGTGGTATCTCCCGGATCTTTCTTTTCTCTCTCTTATATACATTGTAACCTTTTTTCTGGGGTCCGTTCCCGAGTGGCAGCAGTCCCAAGCAAAGTGGATTCGTTTTTATAGACACATCATACCACTGTAACGCATTTGTTTCGTTAGTTGGCTGGACCGATAGAGTTCAATAATAATTATTGTCTCCTTTAGAATTTTATACTATAATTTGCCCGGAGGGCTGCTCGAGTAAGTTTCACATTTTATCTATGACCAAAAGAATAAGTTTCAAGTTTAGGGCATGATAAAAAGGTGGAATGTTGTACCTATTATTTTTTACCTCCCTTCCTAACTTTTAAACTCTAATGACTTTAAAAATGGTTGTTCAAAATTGGTTATCGACCAGTCAACATTTTTAGTACATTAGTCTCGATTTTAAAAGTTAATGAAATGTATGCACTGTCGTTTAAGTTTCTAAAGTTTCTACCCAAAAAAATAAGTTGGAGGGGTAAAAACAAAAAAAAATTAAATTTCTAAATAAATCCTTTGAGATATTCCAACCAGAGAGGTTCACCATAAAATCATCACCCTGTATATAAGTACTTGAAAATTTAAAAACCAATATGATGACGTCAGCTGATAAGGGATTAGTGATAAGAAAAAAGGGAAAGCGTGGGTTGGCGGAGAAGGGAGGGTACAGAAATAGACATTCGTGATATCAAATGTCTTTTCGAAAAAAATGTATAAATCACTTTTTTTTAAAACCGTTTGTGTTTTTTAGCAGACAAAATTTGTTTTGGTGTTTTCCCAACCTTTTGGATTTCTTTAACACGGATATGCCATTTTTCGCATTGCCGATTATTTTGTGTCATAAAACCACACCTAAAAAGACAGATAAGAGATAAGAGATAGATAACAGATAACATATCCATGATTCAATGTTTTTCCGTTAAGCGGAGAAAATAACCTTTTTTGTCTTATTCCATTTCTCGGACAAGCTAATAAAAAATATTCTAGCAAAGCATATTCGGAGGCGACTGCTAACGGGCGGCTGAATGTGACCGTTACACAAAACTAACAGCTTGACTTTATGAATACTATTAGAAAAAATCAAAGGCACGACGGCAAGAAATCCTCTCTTTCTCTCTGGATGGGACTCGTGCACGATACAAATGATAAATTGACTACTGCCACACACACCGGGCGCCCACCGCAATCTTGATGACCACTTATCCTTGTCACTTGGCCATGTGCTGGTTGGTGGTGGTGGTGTGTCTCGTGATTTAAAACAACACAGTGCTGAACTACACATGTATAATATGATATGTGTGTACTGCTTATAATAAAATACATACACCTACCTATGAGGAGTACAGCGACTATATATTATAATATTTTATTATTTGGTCATGTGTATAATAATATCAACACACAGCGAGAACACGACGGTTGGGACGTATCGTAAAATTTCAGATATATATTTTATACACGCATAATATATATAAATATATATATATATTTTTTTTATATATTATATTATATTATACTTACACGGACGGTATATATCATGTGAAAGCCACGGGAGTCCGGCGATACGTCCGGGCTGTGTGCTGCTGCTGCTGCTGTAGGGGTTCTCACGTATTGCGCGTCTCTTTAAATGTAAATTAATATTATATTATTATACATTATGATAATGTTGCCGCGAGACGACCGTTGATGATATTAAATTTGTTTTTGATAAATCGCTCGATTTTATCGTGCCTATATTTGCTCAAATATATAATATAGCAGTATAGCTACTAGACAATGATAATCCTGAATCCAAGTTAAAATATCACCGGACAGAACGACGCGACGGCATTAATATTTTGAAAATATAATCTAAGATTTCAACGATAAAGTGTATTAAATGGTATCATCAATAAATCGAGGCGACTACAACAAATAATTTCTTCAGATGGCCGATTTTGAAACCAACCATGATTTTCCCAACGCAGTTTGAGATAGTTATAAATTAATCTTTGATATTCGATAATAGTTTTACATGTAATAGTGTGGCCACTTTAAAAAAAAAACGTTTTCAAAATGTTTTTATGCTGGTTTTAAAACTAGATGCCTCAATTTCTAGTCTTAATTTAGTTGGGTTTTTTATTTTGCAATTTTTCTCAAGCACGCTTGTGAGTAAAATAACTTAAGTCTTAACTCATCACAAAGAATACAATTGATTAACATTTTCTTAAACGTTTGTCGTGATAAGATTTATGTGTTAAACGTTAAAAAAAAAACAAGGGCTAATTGATTATATGACAGTTAAAAAAAAATTGTACCATTTCATTTGTGTTAAAATGTTTTTTTTTTTTTTGAAAAAATGTACCTATCTTTCAAAATATTCTCTATGCGTTTAAAATTATATACAATAAAAAATATCTTTCGATATCTTACAAATATATTTAATTATTGAAACTTAAGGCGTTAGTAAAATATTTTACAATAATAGTTCGATGGTGAAAACGATGACCAAGTAAGATTTTGTCGATGGGGCTTATTTTTAGAGTTACAAGCAAAACTTCTTTATTTATTATTTTAATGCAATAACATTAAAATTCAACATTTTTAAACATTGCAAGTATTTTTGTACACTTAAAAATTAAGGTCTATATTATAACTTGCATATCGTTACAAGTACTAGTCACCCGGTGATTATTTAGATCTAAAAATATAAGTTCACGAGCCTATCCGTGTTATATTATACTTGGAAATTGCATTATACAATATGTGTTGGCCGACTTGGCTTATTGTCAATGAAGGAATTAGGAGAAGAAAATCTAGGCGGTTTTTTTTTTTTGTATTAGCAAAAGCGACCGCACAACGTTTAGGCCGTTACCGTTTTTTAACAAACAACAACAATTATAATTATTATTGTATCTACCGGTCGAGGACGAGTAATAATATATATATTTATATACGTGTTTGTATAAAAACGGATAGGGAGACGCTGTTAAACGGGTATGGAAAAAAAATGTCGAGGGTTGTAATAATAAAATTAAGCAAAAGGATAGACAGTTAGAGAAGACCGTAAAATAACTCTCTCAGCGGGACGTTTGGGGTAACGAAGAGACCCTCGGCCATAATTTTGTTGATTATTTTTTTCTTCTTTTAAACGCGGGTGGGACTCGTTATTATTTTTTTTTTGTACATCTGTATAATTCATTAATCTACCTCTAATAAAAATTAAGAAAAGTTTTATCCACCACCGTAAAAAGGTGTGCGATTGTGATCTTGGGGTCCGCGAAAATGCGTTGCCCGTTGGGTTTTCGACCGTGTACCGAACAACAGGTTTTTGATTTATTGAGCCACTCGGTATGTGTGTGTATGTATCTGGAAAGAATAAAAACAAATAACACTGTTAGTTTTTAATGTCTTTCTTCGGAACGGTGCGAGTTATTAGTGTAATAATAATATATTCTACACGACCACGACAACCTTGAGTCAATATAGTAGGTACTATAGTGCAGGGTGATTTATAGGACTATCATCTTTGAAAATAATTTTCTAGTTTTTGGAGACACTTTTGTCTAATATAATAATATGCTAATTTACTTCCAAAACCGTTAAATTACTTGATATTTACATTTTCTAGAGCTCTGTCATATTTTGAAACGCAAAGGTGATTGAGAGCTAGCAGCTTTATATAGGCGACAATATTATTAAGAAATATGTGGTTTTTTTTTATAAATGTCGACCACGCCAATTTATTTACAGATTTATTTGTATAATGTGTAAGTATTTGTTGACCTCTTTATTGTGTTATATTGAAAACCGATTTACAATAAAAAAAAATCAGTTTATTGTACATGAATTATTGTTCAATATTAAAACGTAATTTGTCTAAAATCCATTTCCAACATGACCTATTAAAATAGCCAAATAACTTGAACATCTTAAAAAAATTGAAATTGCACCATTGTAAGTAGTCAAACATTTTTGCAAGCTTTCTTTTTAGACTCAATTATTTTTAACCGTAAATGAGTGTCTTGTTGTCCTTCTTGATGAATCCACTTGTACCTACTACTCGATTAATATCTGGCGGTCTGGGCTTACTCGAAAATATTAATATATTGTATCAAGGGTTGTCCAATAATTCAGAAGAAGTTAAATCCTTTTGAAATGGGTACGAGGCCGATGGACGACGATCCACTCGGGTTACAAGAAACACGAGACGTTTATATTTAATTTTTTTTTTTTTACAATAATCCACAAGTTACTTGTCGTATTTATTATGTTGTAAAGCCCCTTGACGCGTCCACGGACGTACCGCACTGTGGTATTTCATTTTTAATAATAATAATATAATCCTACTTGACTGTGTGTCGATAAATTACCTGCCGGTTAAACAGAAAATGTTTAATCTGCGGGTTGAAGAGTTACATGAAGAGATTGGTTATAAAAGATATTGTGGAACAGGCAGAAAATAATATATAAATAAACACATTATTGTAAAATCAATACCTCGGCAAAAATTTTGGTACCATAAGAATGGATGAACTGAATGACTAATATTTATTTTCTTGTTTCAGGTCAGACACATTGAATGGTGTATGCATTCGTCGAATCAAGGTGAGCACATAGTACATACAGTCTGTTGAGTCATTATTATTTACTTTTTTTTTTTTAAATAATAAAATTTAGCTAATTAGTTATCAGGTGGAACAATTTGTTCACTATTGTGAAATCAGTTTAATTTTGTTTAAATTAATACACCAAAAATAATATTTTATTTTTTTGTTTTTTTGCGGATTAATGAGTTTAATTATTTTAAATAGAGACTCAAATATTTCTGACTTGATAATTTGGAATTCACATTGAAGTCAGGTGTTATAACAGATTTATTCTGAACATTTTTCGTTTGCCTAAACAACACAGATTTAGTGTCGCAGTTTAGTATTAATACACGATTACAATACCAAGTAAATAGCTGTACGATTACTATTGGCTGTAGATCTTGCAAAACCAGAAATGTAGGAAGTAGTGCACAGGTTTAAAGATACTTAAAAAAATCATGTTTGTAATCATTATCTAAGCTATAAGCACTATCCCTTTTTTCATGTTGTTTTTTATTTGAATTTCTGTAATAAACAATTGGATAGGGACTTTTTTTTTTTGGGGGGGGGGGAGAAAGGATACAATTTATTTGCTAAACGAGAGGGATTTTTTTAATTTAACATTTTATTGAAGCGGACCGGCGTTATTTAAAAACGGTACTTAACCGTGTGTCTAATTAAACGGGATCGTGTTTTTCGATTATATTAATCATAACGTCGGTCGCGCACGTTAAGTTAATTAAATGTGTAATATCTAACCGCGTGTCTACGATCCGTGTGCAGTGTATCGTTACATTGAGATATGTGAAGGGACTGAAAAAAAAAAAAGAAATACCCATTAATTTATATTTGCGTTCGTGTGGTTTATGTGGCAGATTCTGAGATTAAGTGGTTGGAAGCGGCGAGGAAGTGCTGCGACGTGGCTAAGTCGGACCGCTGCCAATTGTCGTGCTTGGACAAGAACAAGGAACCCAGATCGGTGCACATGCATTGCCAAGACGAGACGGAGTTTTTCACTTGCCACCAACACCAACAGGTATAATATACTTGAACGACGAAAGACTTAACTATAAATTATACCCATAGACAATAAAATAATGGATTGCCCATCAAGTTTTTATCGCCTGAGAATAAAGTGATAACAACAAGAGGTTACGACGTTACAACCCCTTGCCAGCAAGAGACATAGATACTTTTAGGGGAAAAGGAACTGTCTTTCTCTCTTCCCCATTCAGGCGTGCGTCCTCTTATTTGCTAACACAAACATGGCCTAACCTTTCTTCTTTTATCTACGGTTATACCTGACTTGACCGACCGACCACCGGGCAACGGGTATTGGCTAGGATGTATTGACATAACCCACGACCACGATCGCGTATGCATCAAGATAGATCCCAACCAATCTTAAATTGGACACGACGTGCGTGACGTCTTATGTAAAATCGTTACTTGTATACTAGGAGATTAGGTTTTGAGAATATTATAGACGGTGGGTTTTCCTATGTACATTGCAAGCGTAGTGGCTAAACTTAATTAAACATCGGCACGGAATAGATCAGAGCAGAAGGGTGTAAACAAAAATGTATGCTATATCTATACACAACAAATAATAATAATAATATGGCAGCTCCGTTACAATAAATAGCCAAAGCCATAACACTATTTATAGACACGATGCTATTAATACCTTGTTAGCAGGCTTGTCAATCAGGTTGACAAACCTATGACGTTGTTGAACATAAAAAACGGGGTGATTATAAAGATAATTTCAATTAAAACAAAATCAAAAACTACAAGTACGTTGTTAATGTCGTGCCAAGACGTTTTGCGTTCAAAACGAACATCACGATTCTTTGGCAGTGCACTTAATATTGCCAATCGATAAATCAACGTCCGTCGCCTGTCATTTAAACAGTAAAAATATAATATTATGCCTAGTCGAAGTACTAGTCAAGCACACGGATTCTGTGCTTCGGCCGGTCAGTAATATTATGAAATCGTGTTCAAGACTATATTGTTTTATATACAAACACGCACACCACTAAACTACCGAGTAGGTATCCGTTATTTTATGCACACACACACACACACACACACACACATATTATACAATTTATGCGTTATCCATAAATAGTTTTCCTCTGCTTAACGACGGCATTTTTGTGTCCGTGCACGAACTCTACGACCAACGTCTACCGATTGGTTGATTGAAAAATTTGCACGATGCCCAACAAATGTCACGTTTACATAATATAGGAGACATTTACGACATTCTCGTACTAAGTATTTTTTTTTTACAAAATATTGCCTTTTTCTCAGTTGACCAAAACAAAATCCGTGTCTTAAACCATGTTTAAGTCGACCAGAGTGAATCCGAAAACAAATTGGATTACATGGTTTTCTAAACAACATGCATTTCAATATTATCAGTGTCGACGAATTAATTAATTTAAAAAAATTGTGACTATTGGTTATAATTTCAAACATGCCAGTTTATATCCCAGCATGGCCAATTAATAACATAAAACATAACGTTTTGTTGTATTTATACATTATCTAAGGTCTCAATTATATGAACCGGTTGACTGGTCCCGGGTCAGGTATAAGGTAAACCTTATACCCCTGGGGTTGTCCTCAAGAGATACGCTTGATAAATTCCTAATGTAAACATTATGTTTCAGTCAATCATTTTTCATAATATTAATCGCTCTTTTCACAATTGTGCCACATAAAGGTACCGTACGGCATTCATACACATATGTTAGTACAATAGAGAAGAAGATCCTTTCGAGTCTGATTATATTTTCACACGTTATTTGAAACAAATACCTGCAGATATTTTTTCTTTTGTAGTGTTGCTCGTGATTCACAAGTGCCACGCGTCCGCACAAACTTCGAAAACTATGTGACACGACAAATTACATGACTCTGTACTTGACAATATAATATGATACATGTATACACTATACTTGAGCCATCTAACCGTTTTGCGCGTTGTCGTAGGTGAAAGACGCTTGTTGCGGTGACGGAAACGGCGGCGACGCGGCTCAGTGTCAGGTCGCTTGTGAGAAATTCCTGGCCAGCACACCGTCTATCAATCAACACGTGGCAAACCAGGAGATCCTCGACATGTGTGCCGACCCGCAACGTGGCAGACCGTCCCGTCGGTGTTCGCACAACTCCACAGCGAGTCGACCCACCGACGGTCACAAATGTAAGTCAGTTGGACGGCGGGTTTATCTGGAATTGGGGTCATTGCGACACCGGAAGATTGGTTTAGGTTAGATCAGAGAGAGTGAGAGAGAGAGAAGGGAGTAGAAAAGAGTGAAGGGGAGGAAAAGAAGAAAATTTAGATCATCTGATAATGGCTGGGGGTGTATCTGGACTTAGTTGGATGGGAAGGCAGATGGAAGGAGAGGTGGATGGGAAGACAGGGGAGAGCTGTTTCCTCACGGAAAAGCATTGAATTGTCTTCCAAAACCCAAGAACATAGCCACGATTCTATGTTTTTCCGCGTAGCAAAGGAATTAATATTGATTCGTCTGATCTTACTTTGTCGTTTAGATCTACACTGTTGCAAGTTGGCGCCGGACGCACAGTGCGAGGAAGCCTGCCAAGACAGTCTGCGCAAACAGTTCGACAGCGATGCCGAAGCCGTCGACAGTCTGGAAGGTAGAGGGTGCGGACAACCGTCGTTTGACGTAAGTATGATAATATAAGTGTGGAAAAACGTTTGGAATGTACAGACATATAGGGTACTTACTATTTCATCCATAATAAGCCAACAGACGTGCTCGAGTGATTTTCCGATCATTAGCAGCTGATTTATAAACAAATTAGCAGGGCGTCGCCCATAGCAAAATATGGGGTTGTTATTGGAAGCCAAATTTTATTTCTTTAACGTTAAGACGTTAGTTAGGCATAGGTAAAGAGCTATGGTAAATATTTTACTCATGCCTATTGTTCTCTAAACCATGACCTGCGCGGCATTTCCCATCTCTGCATTATAATAATTATACTTTATTATTTACGCTATTATCCATCGAAAAAAATCTTATGTCAGTATATTGTTGTAGTTTGAATTAATTAGATTTAAATTAATTGCCCGTTGTTGTTTGGAGCTAGATGCATTGAACAATCCAAAATATAATTTTATAAATGATTATCCAATTAAAACTGCCACTGGCCACACAAAACTAAGCGTGTGTTATAGTTATTTCAAAAACAATAAAATTGTTATACATACGAAGTTTCCGGTACGACGCACTTTTCGCATGTTAACTCTTACAATATTATTATAATATATGCATGCAGAGGTTCCCCAATGATATTTTTAACGCAACCGCAACGTTACAAAAGAATAATAATTAAGACGATTTTTAACGTTTGTAAACCTTAAAGTCATTGACTTTCCACCATTTTACACTTGACACCTTCTTAGTTGTAACCATTAACCGTAAACGTCTCTCGTTGGTTCTGTACTGCACAAGACGTGTAAAGGTTGGAAGTCCACCGTGTTTGGCCTAGTTAACATTTTTATATTATGTCATTTACTTAAAAGTACACTTAAAACCTATTTTGACCAGCGCTAAAATGAGTTACCGAAGCCTCGGGGCAACACATTTGTGCAATTCCAATCTTCCCAGCAATAACAATGCGGTACGCCGCGTGTATTGTTATCGTTCTGTACGCTTCGCCGCCGACACTTGTTGTATGATATTATAATTTATATTCGAGTATATGTTATTATGGGTTTATTTTACATCCGCGCAATAAATCATAATCGCTCGCTGGCTATAGTTTTCATTTTACCCGACACACTTTGGCGTTGAAATTGGATATTGCATTCTATGCTAATTTTAGCTTAGGTTAGAATCATCTGACCAGGTGGTCAATGGTGTCGGACAATATGTCTTAGTAGGTTCCTACTTTTACGGCATGTGATTTTTCCAGGATCGATTTTGGCAATGTTTCTTACAAAGCGAGAGCGGCCAACACAAAGACACTGCCGTAGCGTCGCCCATGTCTCAGATCGAAAAGCTCGGAATGGACAGCGCCAAATTGCACTGTTGCGACAAAGCCTCGACGGTCGGATGTCGGAAACTCTGCGTGAAGACTTTTACCAACGAATGGTCCACGTCTTGGACCGACCTGAACGCCCAGTGTTTGTCGCATCCCAACGAAGATATGCTACTCAAGTGTTTGGACGAAGGTATTACTAACACACCATGTCTCATACAATAAAAATTCCAAATGTCTAAATCAAGTCGAGGCCGACTATCCCCACGGGTAGCCTAGGGTATTGTCAGATACTCCCGAAGTCATAATTGCCCGTTAAATTCTCTGACCACCGAGCTTTTACCTTTTACTCGTGTAGAATAAGCCTTAAGGTCTACAACTAGGGATTGAAAACGTTTTACACTTGTTATAGCTCCAAAAAACGTTGATTAAAATTATTGACAGTATGATAGTCAGATAGCTGTCTGATAGATCTGACTACCAACTCCAACGAGTTATAACAAATAGAGTAACATTTAGTTTTCAATCCCTCTCTAAGACACTTCGTGTGGTTCTCTGTAACGCTATAATGTATGTGATCAAATGGCCAAATCGTTGTAGAACGTCTACGATCTGGAAATTAATATCATACGATGGTTGTAAACTGCAAACAGAGATAATAATCGGCCGAATATTTAGCTGGTTAAACGTCCACCAACACCACATTAATTAATGTTGAATTCGTTAAACTTGTATGCCCACTTGTAGGTTCGTTAGCGAAACTGACGATCCTAGCTGATCCCGGTAACACCTGTTTTTGGAAGATTATAAAAAAAAACCATTGCCAAATAAGGTATATCGCTACAATAATATTATGGTATCATTGATCGCATTAAATAAATAAATTGTACTGGCAAACTGCCATTTGCATAATCTAATAATTGCATCGTTGCCGACGTACGACCACCAACGCCGGTCGGCATGTGACATGCGAGTGCTAATAAGGCCTGTGGAATATTCAATGTTAATTTAAATGCATTATAATATTTATCACTGGTAAATCACCAAATCGAAACGGTGTCGGCAAAAGACGGCGCCAAAAAAAGTATTTAAAAATATTGAAGGGTGCGAGAAATTCTATTGTCCCATTTACCACAATTGGCGGGGGGAATGCGTTTTATAATATCTTTGTAGGTAATAGTCCTGTTTTACTGTTAATCAATTTTTGATCAAAAGTGGAGGAGATAACCGGTTCTTGCATAGGATCCTTCAATTGCTCTGCGTTTCCCACTGTTGTAAAGAGTTAACAGATTTTTACACTTGCGTTGCATTACCTTTTTTTTCTTTTTTTTAGTTGAAGAACCGTGTGACTTGGGCTGTGAGGGTTTGAACTATTGTACGGTGTTCAACAACCGACCGACCGAGCTGTTCAGGAGTTGTTCGTCGCAAACGGACGATGCCGCCCACTACGACGTTACCCTGTGGAGGCAAAGAGGTACCATCAACTTGTTCGACCACGAATTACCGGTGAAGAACATCAGTCGGTGCATGCCGGACACCTGGAAAGCGGTGGCTTGTGTGCTCCAGATACGGCCATGCACCAGGGAATCGCACGTTAACAAGATATGCAGGTACATCGATCCGTGGGCACTGGGCAGATAAGAGGGAATAGATAATACCCGGATAATTGATAAGAGAACCGGCTGATAAGAGCACAGAATAGCCATAAGAGACCATGGATGACAATTCGAAATCGGTTCAAATGGTTGAGCAAATCGGTGTAGCCAGAAATCAACCACCAATTAAAGCTATCTTTATACTGCCTATTCTGATTTGTCCACGGGTATGGAAAATATATCATCGTGTCTCTTTTGGTTATTCTGTGATAAGAGATGAATGATAAGAGAAACAACTGATAAGATACAGATCAAATCAAATACTCATAAGGCACGATCGCGATCGCAATGTCTTTCCTTCAATTGGAGTTTTTAAATAGAACAATATTATGTTCCAACGATTACCAATAAAACAGCGGCGACGACATAATTATGTTATTTTATTTTACAACGATATAGGGTTATGAGGTTTTTTAAATTTATTTTCGCAAATACGTACGGTCGATATAACAACAATATTAATAATTATTATAATGCTTGAATAAATAGGTTGGTAGCGCGTCTGGCTGATTGCCAGTTTCATTATTTTTGCTGAATTTTTTTTTCTTTTTTATTTCTGCCATCGACGTCTCTTCGGCACGTATCGGTAGTTAAAAAAAAAAAAACAGGAACCGGGACACGCATTCCCGAGATTGTATGCAAATCCAAATTTCTATCCGTCGCCGTTTCACACATAACAAACTCCCGCGATAAGGGATTAGTGATAACTAATAACAAAAAATAATCAGAAGAGACAAGAATTACACCAATGGGGGTTAGATTTGTTACAACTGCGGGCAAATTAGGGTAGAAAGTGTGAAGTTTTATTTCCGGCGACACTGTTCAATTACCTTACCGGAAAACGTGTGTGAAATCGGTTTTGGCAACAAAGAAGACATTTTAATTATTGTGGTCGATTTCTGGCTACACTGATTTGCTCAAACACTTTACTGATTTCAAATTCTCGCTGGCCGTCTTTTCTGGATATTCTGTGGCGATAACGGATAAACGATAAGAGACAGTTGGTAAGAAGAGATTAGATGTAGGTAGTCTAGATTTAATCCGTCTTTCACGTCTTTAATCCTTGGTGAAATTGAAAGTGAACATGAAGGGAAGGGACAGAAATTAGCAAATGCACGGTGTAATGTCTTCTGGGAAAATTGATAAATAGTTATTTTGTGTGGCATTTTACAGTGTTGGGCGTGATCGATTACTTTGTACAACAGTTTAATCATGATTACAATTGTGATCATTAATCATCGAATATATGATTACATTAATGATTCAATTGTAATCATGAAATTATTAAAAAAAAATTGTTTAACCGCCCTTTGCTTTCTGTAAAACACATTATATATAAACATATATAGCGTTCCACGACGATTTGACCTTTGTAATATCTCTTGGAAAAATTCATTTTTTTTTAACTCTGATTTTTCTAATATTTTGTTAGCCAACAAGTAGTTTATTTTTTGAAGTATAAAAAATCTAAAATCATTACTATTAATTTTTGAATTTGTATAGTTAATAGATTTACTTGAAAAAATATTTCGAGTTTTAATAACGTTTACTTATCAATTTTTAAACGTCAAAAAAATAAAATTTAAGTCATCAAGTAATATACATTTTTTTTGGGGGGGGGGAGCTAAATTTTAATCAAGGGCCTAAGCCCCCCAGCCCTATCCTTCCCTAGTTGCACCACTGAGTCTGAGGCGGTTAAAAAAATATAATCATGATTACAAATGAATGATTAATGTAATCATAATTACCATTACATGATTACTCCTCTGATCATGATTACATTAATCCAACACTATGATAACTGATTACAATTATTATTAATAGTAATCATTAACACTGGAATTTTATTTTTATTTTTGCTTGCAGAGACGATTGTTTGGAACTGTTGAGCACGTGCTTGGATTGGACCCGAATGATGCCGGGCATGTCGGCCAATTCGCTTTGTGCCCGTCTGTCGCCGGAGAGCGGACCATGCGTTTCGCTCAAGACGTACGCCGAGCACGTGCCGGAGCCTGCACCGCCGTATCGGCAAACGGCCCTGGCACAAGTGACCGCCCCGTGCAAGCGGAACCCGTGCTCGCCGGGCATGGTGTGCCTGGTGAACCGCGGGTGCCGGATCGGCCACTCGTGCAAACCGTACCGGTGCGTGCCGGGCTGCAAGGTGGGCGAGGTGTCGCACTTCCTGATCCCGGAGGACTCGTACGCGCGCATACCCACGTTCAACGGGCAGCGCGGTTGCGTAAAGGTGTGCCAGTGCACGAGGAGAGGCTTTGACAAGTGCCAGCAAGTGCCGTGCTCGCAGATGCAGTCGTGCTGGTTGGCCGGCAAGCAAATTGGTAAGCGGCCAACTCGGTCGAACGCGGATAGGTTAATTGAAAACGGAAACACATCTAACGAAATCCTTTTTTTTCCTTTCAACTTTTAAAATAAAAATATACCCGGCAAATATTTATACAGCCATACGACTGTCCAGCCGCAAGCCCTCTGTTTTATCCGATTTGATGTTTCTACGGCTTTTGAACTTCCATAAACATATTATTAATTCACAAACCGTTTCTTTGCCCTGTGTTTACACTCGGCTACGACAACAAAACGTAATAATATTAAGGCGGATGTCGCCTGTATTATTTTTATTTCCAACATTGCTTTTGTAGAATCAGATTTCCGAAAAATTATTCGTACTCACTGTTTTTTTGTTGTGTTTGTTAAAGATCACGGATCCACGTTCGAAATGGACTGTAACACGTGCAATTGTTTTGCCGGTGAGATCACTTGCACGAAAAAGCACTGCGAACAAGCGGCCAACGCCGTTTCAAAGTACAGACACACGGGTTTGCCGTGCAATTGTGCTCCTCATCACGTGCCCGTTTGTGGCGTCAACGGAAACACATATCCCAATTCGTGTCTAGCAAAGTAAGACACGCGGTTTTGTATGCTAAGCGGTCAATTGAAAGGCACTCAAAATATGTACCTTGAAATCTGTTTTAAAAGTCAAGACGCTTTGAGCTTGCTTTCAATCTAATGGAAAAACGAGAATAAGGTCATTTCTCTTACCGGAATTCGAATTTTGCTGCTTTGTTTTTCAATTGAACGGTCGCCTTAATAGTTTTGGGTTTGGTAATTAAACTTAACCGTCTCTGAACCTTCTTCTGCTATAGATGCGCCGGACTTAGCGACGTAGACCTGAAGTTCGGTTCGTGTTGGAGCGAAGACCCTTGTGCCGAACACTCGTGCAATCCAGACGAGAAGTGCGTGCCGGCTCGTCAGGTGTGCTTGTCTATGTTGAAAACATCCTGTGTCCAATACAAATGCGGTGAGTGATTCTTTAAGTAGAAAAAAAACCTTTAGCTGTTGTACTCGTCGAGTTCCGAGCAAACGTGCGTTATTACAAGTATGATTTTTTCTTAGTTTCGGACGACGACTCGTGCAAAGATACGCCCAAGAGTCCGGTTTGCGATACGGACGACGAGGAACACGAAAACATATGTGAGCTGCTTCGGGCCAACAAAATCTTGGCCTACAACGGCCCTTGCTTGGTGAGTATTCGGCAAAAATACTTAAGCTGACATTTGCCAGTGCCGAGTCCCTAAAGCCTGTGTACTTAGTACGTTGGTTCGGTTAGGTTTGGTTAGGTTAGGTTTCACTTTTTGTCAACTATTTTTTTGTACCCCGACTTAACCTAACCCCATTTCGAACGCTTCTCATTTTCGTGTGGGCACAGACTATGCGAAAGCAGATAGCTCACTCGGCATGACGCCACAGGACTGAAAATGAAATCAGTGTGACCACAGATTCAAGTATAAAATTGCATGATAACATCACAGTTTAGGTAAAAAGAAATTTTATATTCTGTGATAATATAGCAAATATATATATATATAATAAACTAAATTTCTAAGTGTACATGCCGCAAATATAGATAATAGTTGAAGTTTCCATTTTCCACCATCTCTGGGGGAATTGGATCCTTATCACATATTTATAACTGTTATCACTGTTTGTAGCAATTACAAGTTAAGTTGATTACCCAGACATATACAAATATTATAATATTATATACACAAAAATGGTGGACGTCGACTTCCAATCGTAGGTATCATTTAAATCTTTGGATTGATAAGGAGTTTGCACAATAATTTATACTAATTCATGCGGCTACACTGATCTCCTCGCCACTGATTTAGGAGTCTTTTTTTAAAAAATATCTTTTTTGCCGAGTGAGCTATCTATTTTTATACAACCTGACTTATGTGGAAAATGTGGTAACCGTCGTCAACTGTTCTCAGGTGGGATGTAACTCTTCAGGAACGGTGTGCGGTGTGGACGGTAACACTTACCCGTCGGAATGCGCTGCTTTTGCCGAATCTGCCAGTGTCGACTATGCTGGACAATGTGTTTCCAGCGGTTTCATCAGCTACAACGGGCGACCATACTGTCCGAAAGGAGTGGTCGAGTGTCCTCGGCTACCCCAGCAAGGGTGTATGGGCATCACACCACCCGGATCCTGTTGCGCCAAATGTGTCGGCGCCCTTCGCATCCTGTTCAGGTCGGTAGTACAATAAATAATGATTAAAAAAATCTCTCCGGCGAAAGCCACTTGAACCCGTAGACCATAGACCTAAAAGGAAATGGATTGCACCACCTACACACATCCATTTCTGTATCAAATTAATATAAATATTATGAAAACAAGTTTTGTTATAATACATAGCTTTAATATTACCAAACAAATTTAAATTGCATTATAATACCATAAACAGTGCATTTTATGCTGACAACGAATCTTAAATAAGATGATGTAAAATATCCGACACGTCACTTTTCTGTGTAGGTTAGGTTTGATTAGGTTAGGTTTGGTTAGGTTAGGTTGTGTTAAGTTAATTGTAAAAATGAGACTGAATTGTGTACCGTTTCTATAACAAAATACACATTTCAACGCTGTGTGTGCACTTTATACTTATTGCTCTTGTGTTTTGTTTTTTTTTTTACAGCCAAAAGCAAGTGGACCGAGTGGTGCACACGATGAAAAACAAACCGACGGCCGTCAACGCTCTGAGCATGAAATCCGTGCTGAGGGCGTTGGACAGGCACGTGCAGGTAGCAGAATGCGTGGTCCGCGGACACCTGACCGTCTACCAAGACCTGCTGGTGTTGGTCGAGTCCACGTTGCGGTATCCGACTCGGTTGCAGTTGGAAGCTTGCGTCCGGGAGGCGGAAAAACTGTCCACCCTGATGGAGATGTCCAGCCCGCGCATCGTGTCCGACCTGAGCCTGAGCATACTCATATCGGCCAGTCCCGTCCACGAGACCACGGCCAACAGCGTATCGCGGCCGTCGTCCGCGGCCAACGCGATACTGCTGCTTGTAGCGTTGTTGTTGACGCTATGTTGGCGTTAGAGACGTCCAGTGACCGACTGAATATTATTTTAACGACAGTTTATTTATTTTATTTTTTGTATTTTCCAAATATTATTATTACGTTTAATTTTTATTATTTATTTTATTTGGATTTTTTTATTTTAATTTTAGTTTTACCGTTGTTATTACTGTGTACAAATCGTATGATAATAATTATGTCTGTGATAATCTTATATTATATTACATTGTGTACATACCTGCTTTTAGAGCAATTATTATTGTAAATTTTTATTTAGAAAAATAAAATATATCATCCGAGTTATATATTGTATTTTATTTTGTGTTGCTGACTCTGTATGATTTCCCCTTGTTTCGCTATCCGACACAAATGCACGTTAAGTTGCCTAATCCGCCGCTAATAATATAACAGCTATACACAAAATGGTTTGGCTGTAAAATATTTGTTTTAAATCAAATTTAGTTCGAAAAAAAATCGCGAAATTTTGTGTAGAAGGTTGGGTAGTGGCAATTCGTGAGAATTTGAGCTAGAGCTAGAATTTTAAAAGCATGATGATATTTTTAAATCTTTTTTTGTAAATAAATAATCGTAAAAGAATAAGCAAATTTAGTAAATAAATCGAGTAACTGAGTCAGTTAATCGAATAACCGAGTTAACAAAACGAGTAAACATATCTAGTATAAGAGTAAATAAATCTAGTAAACAAATCTAGTGAGTATTTAAGTAAATCGAAGAAATAAGTAGACAAATTTGAAGAAACGAGTATACAATTCGAGTAATCGAGTAAATTTGTAAATAAATTAAAGTGGCGCAAAAAATCTTAAAAATTTTCTTGGTTTTTTTACTACTATCGTGTTAAAAAAATATGTTTAATTTTGTAAAATATAAAAAAATATTGAATATTTATCTATTCGTATTTTATGAATTCCTCGTAATAAACTTTTGCGAGACTCGATTGAAACGGTGCTAAGTCGACAAAACGCTGTTTTGTTTTTTCATAATAAAGATAAATTACCGTGTTTTGTGTACCTATTCTTTTAACTATCCAATAATATTATTGCGTTTAAGTATTATGCGGGTTTTTTCAGTGCGATTTTCCATTCATAAACAATCAACAAAAACTTACCACCGCATAAAAACAACACGGCTCATTCATAGTAGGTACAGTAATATTATATCTATACCTAAACCTAATAAATCACAATAGGCGGCAATTACCGGTGGATAAATAAATAGTAGTTAAATAAAACAGCAGAACGGCTCGCCGGCAATCAGTTTTGAGTCATTGTGGAAAAATCTTAATAAAAATAATCATCTGGTAGCATATGTGCCTGCGCCATTCCACAGTGTCATTCTCGAACACGACACAAGTCGATGCGAACCACTTGCGATTGTTTTACTTGAAACCATAAGCAGAGCAGCAGTTGGTCGATTTCCTTCGTTTTTGTTGTCGCTATATCTTGGAAAAATAAAAGAATGAACGACTCGTCCGAGTGGAAAGTGGAAAGCAAGTCGTCCAAGCACGAGATTTCGGAAAAACGACAGGTGTACTTGGAGTTTTCCGAATTCAGTCCGGCGCAGATTAAGGAAATCGAAGAAATATTCAACATGTGAGTGTTTCCTAGTTGAGTCTGTTTCAGACAAAACTTCACGTTATTATTATGCTAAATAAAACCAAAAAAAAAAATGCTTAAAAAACTGTCTTGGATCCTTAAAACCACCTTTGACACCTGTATTCGAGCAAAAAAGTTCTACAAAAAAAATAAAGGAAACCAAAAAAAATCCCAGCTAAGATTTTTCATTGCAATAAATAAAAGTTCAATATAGATCAGATATCATACTCAAAAATCAACATCTTCCTTTTGAAATTGAAAAAAAAAGCGTTATAAAAAATTAAGGCTATTTAAGTAAGGACTTTTTTTTTTTTTATTAAGGAAAACCTCTTCCCAAAATATTGTTGAAAATTAAATTTTCAAACCCAACCGCTGTGCTGGTAATTTTTTTTTTGAATTTAAACAATTCAATATTATTTCAACATATTGTCAGGTACGACTCGAACAAAGACGGATATATGTGCAAAAACGAATTGAAACGAATGATGATTGAACGTCGCGTTCCTTGGACGGAAAATTCGATAAATCATCTCATCGACGACGTCGACATCGATCAAGACGGAAGGCTCACCTTCAGAGAGGTCTGTATTTACCACTTGAATGATTTGAAATCCGGAACATAATGAATCTTAACAATGAGTGTATTTTCGATTTCCAAAAAATTGATGTGTAAAACAACAACGATTAAAAAAAAAAAATCCTTATATAAAATTACAATTAAAACAAAATTATTAAATATTATAATACATTTTCACATTAAAATTAATTACCATCAAATATTGTTTGAAATTTATTGGTTGTTGTGTTTCGTTCAGTTCCTGATGACCAACCGCAAGACATTGGAATACTGCCAACGATCGTTGGCCAAGCAAGAGAAAGTCGACTTCAACAAAGTAGGCATCAAAGGCGTCAGGGACTTCTTCGAAGCAAAGGTTAATGTGATTATTGTACTTACGATTAATTTTTTTTTATCTAAAGAAATTATTTATTATTACACAGCCGTAATATCGTACCACTAGACTTTTCACGATAACATTTTTTTTTAAACTACATATCAGTTTTGTTTACTTAAATGTTATTTTATAATAGGAAAAAATACAATATATCTATTTACTATTCATATTTTGTTTCAGGCCAAGTATTTGAAATAATAACAAAAAAAGGCAGTATCAATCAAGTCACAGTTTTACACAGCTAAAACGCGTTGAAATCGGTTTCAAACCCGTTTCTTGATGAGTATAATTATAGAACGCCATTAATTTTGTACATAATATTTATATTACTTAAACTTAGGCAAAATAAAAAAAAACTGATATTGTTTACGATAAATCGGTCGAGTACGTCTATTTGTATTATTTAATTTTTTTTTTAATAAGAATTTTATTTAAATAAAATACAATTTACCTTAGCGGGATTGTGAGGAAATTTTGTTTAAACTGTTATTTTTATTCTCAGTATTTAGGTACAGCTCAGATATTATGTACTTTTTACAGAAAGCAAATGTACAGATCAATAACTGCCTAACGGCACAGTAGAATTTTACGGTTGCGACTACCACGACACTACTGTTTTGATTTGTATCGGCTTAATTTGTTTTCAAAATAATAAACTAAAAATAAAATCGCTATTCAAAATATACAAAATATATAATATTAAAAAGAATACATTTAGATAAGTACAATCAATAAAAAATGTATATTATGTTTGGCTACCTATAAATTAGCGTCAACCGAATTAAAATTCACAATTAAAAATTAAACATTTATTAATAATAATAACAGTCTTGATTAGGGTGTTAAAAAATACTATCACAGTATTGTACTTGTCGAGAGATAAAAACTTACATTAATTAGGTATAAATGTTACTTTAAAAATATTTTCTTTTTTTAAAAATATGTCGTCTTCACGTTTCATTCGAAAACGACTTTGTCAATTTCGTTTATTAACCTGGTCAAGGCCAGTCCGTCGTACTGAACCGTTAGTTCTCGACTTGGTATTACCGTGTTTATCTCTATTTGTTGGATGTTATCGTAACAAGGTCGGTAGTAATCCTCAAGTTTGGGTACAGGGTGCAGCGTGCTCGTCCGCACCTCTCGCGGTTTACGTTTGGCCACCGGTTTCACATTACTGTGCAGACCGACGTCGACCATATTGGCGTAATTGTATATTTGCTCGGTCAACGGAAAATTAATATTTTTTATTCCAGCCTGTAATCACACACACAACTTTTTATTATAATTTGTTATATCTATATAAAACAATCATTATATGGCAGGTTTATTTTGTTTACTTTGCTGGCAATAGATTTCAATTTTGTGTCGACCTCCTCGTCACCGATCGAAATCCGTTTTAATTTACTTTCCGTTTGAATTACCGACGAATAAAGAGTCGGTTCTGGTCGGTATTCTGGCCGAACTCTTCTGCGGCCAAAAAAGTCGTCCCCTTTGTTGCTTTGAAGTATGCTTTTCTTCTGTTCGTTCATGGTGTTTTTGTTTTCTAGGTAGTATTATTATTGTAAATCAATTATTTCCAAAACTAATCATCGGAAGGCGAGTCGAAATTGATAACAACAACAACTGTTGATTGTCGAATGATAACATTTTTGTGATAACGTTTAATTTGCAGTGCAGCCAACCCGTACGATAACGATAATTATCGTATATTACAGTACGCAATCCGTTGTGTAATGTGTTGCCTATACTAAACAGTTACGGGGTACTTAAACAATAATAATTTCTTTTTATATAATGTAATTTTTTAAAAATAATTTCAACTTAATTCGTTACATTTTAATTCGTACTATATATTGCAATTGGCAATTATATACATTTACATCATTGCCCTCAAATATTATTTTTTAAATTACACGTTGACAATAATCTCGCATTAACAATTTTTTTTTTTGAATTTTTACACACAGATATTTTAATATATTTTTAAAAAAAATACTGCACTGGTTTAAGTTAAAATTGAATAATTATCAAATTTTTTATTGGGCCACTTTGATTTTGAAGGTGAAGGATTAATTTTTTATTTACATTTGTGTGCACACTTGTTAATATATTATTACAACTTAAAATAATATAACTGATTTTCGATTTTTTGCACACAGATATTTCAATAATATAATTTTTTTTAACTGCCGTTTTGAATACAGACAAAATATATAAAATATGTAATAAAATAACTTGTTTACATTACATTGGTACAATGGTTTTAATGAGTACCGTGTCTGTATACATTTTTTGAAAATATAATTTTAACCAATTATAACTCAACCATTATAAAGTGAGGGTAGCGCCATTTTTCTTTTACTGCTATAGTTTTCTTATTCATTAATAGTATTTTATTAAATTTCTTCGGGTAACATACAACAATACAAAAAACTAGTAGCTAGTCAGCTAAATTTGGCCAACTTAACTAAAATTAAATCTTACTCTTTCCAAATACTTTTCCCTCGTCACACGCCCATACCATTTAATATGTATATGTATTTTTTTTTTTTGTAGCATTTTTCTTTCCAAAATTTCAAACATTTGTTAGGTTAAGCAAGTCAAATTTCAATTTTTTAATGTAAAACCAATTTACTGTCAAGAAAACGGTCTAAAGTACACGTCAGGCAATAATAAACAGTATAATAGATAAGCCGTCATGTTTAAATAACAACAGCTATGCAAATAAATTGACAGAGGTACGATATGTATAAAAGCCCTGAGACAAGAAACAAGAGAATCATTTCAGAACAGTTATTTGAAAAAAAACGTATTATTGCTTAAAAGTTGAGTCGTGTCCGTTATTTAAGTAAGTAGTATTAGTAAGCTTAAATGCTGGAATTTTCGAATTTTTTTAAATATTTGTATTACTCATTTAAGATAAAAAATTGAATTTTCTATTATATTTTCCTACATTTTAAGTTCAAGCTATTTTAGCACGGCTTATAAAAATAAATAGATGATAGCCGGACATTTTACCTGCAATTGAGTTAAGAGTTGATATAAATTGCTTTTACGTTTATTATTATTTGCAGTTGAAAATGAAAACTGTCTGTGTTTTAATGACGTTTATATTTGTAAATGTTTTGGCTGAAATTAATATGAGTAATTATTTTATTTTCAACTACACGGGGCAGTTGACAATGTATGGAAAATTAATATTTAACTATTCTTCACAGACAATTATAAGCAGCAAGTTTTCTTGACAAGTCAGTAACATTTTTTTCCTAACAAATTAGGTTTTAAGTTTTTGAATTTTATTGTTGATAAAACTATTTTAAAATATCATACAACAGATAAACTCATCCAGAAAGTGTACGAACATAATAATGCAAAGGGAAGTAAGATATATATAAAGAATACCTAACTAATAAAATATAATTTTAGTTTTGTTATATTTGACTAATTACATCAAACAATATATGAATGCTGAATTTATGACAATTAAAACAATTTATATTTATACTTAAAAACAGTATTATTTACTTTAAGCACACTTGGCTATGGACTTTGACCGTTTAAGTTAAACGGTCATCGCTTAAAGCATAGTGTTATCTATTTTATTGCACTCAAAACTTGTATTTGTTTATTTTTAGATGGATTGGAAAATGTTATTAAGACATTTGTTGGTATTTGTACATTGGGTAGTAATTATTTTACAATAATAAAATAGAAATAAAGCCACCACTAGCGGTAGAAAAAAATTATGAGAAATTTATATAAAAATTGCAGTATACATTTTTACTTTAATTTATTAGTCAGGAAAATGGACACTATATAAGAAAAACGACACTGAATATAGCTTTGTCAATTTCACTTAAATTTTATATTTTAGTCTAATCGCTACAACTGCTTGAATTCAGCCATTATGTTTTCATAATGTTAACACAACAGACAATTAAATCCAATATCATTAATTTATCTAATATTTATTTCAGGCCACTTAAATTTGATGTTCGCCATACCGGGTACGGTAATTTTCATTGCATTTAACGGAAATATTTCCACATATTTATAAAGTACACAGATTTTTTTTTTTTGTTATTATTTCAGACCGTTTACAATACACTGGACAAATGCAGAGTAACCACGTTTTGTTTTTACAACACTTTCAACAGATTGGTTTTAACCATATTATATTTTTTTGTTTTTAATTATAGTATCCTACATCCTACAGGAAAATTTGCTACAAACAATACATCATACGTTCTGTAAATATAACATTTAAGTTCTTAAGTATAACTAAGAAAAAGTCGATTATATCTAAAGCCATACAGAGCTTTTTGCGTTTTGCTCGAGGTTTGATGATCAAACTGTATAATTATTATTTAATATTTTACAGCTTTTCCTGTACCCGAGCCACACCAATGTAATTATGAATTTATTCTGTAAACATACAATAAACCTTTAGGCTGCTTTTAAAGTTGAAATTTGCTTTTTTTTCCTTTTTTATACAATAAAATTATGTATTAAGAGCAATTAATTTTTTTATTTTATTATAATATTATGTTATTAATTAACACGGTTGTTTATTAAATTCTGAAGTTCCTGAAAATTTAAATTTGGAAGAACTTGGAAATGAGAGAAGAGATTATACCGGAAGAGCTTTGGAAAATATATTTAGAAGTGGATTGAAGTACAATACTATTTACGGTGCAGGTATAATACATTAATATAGAATTGTAATGGTATTATGCTTTTTACTGTTCTCCATTTTCTGCTTTAACTTTCTAACATTGATTGAAATTCTTTGGCCATCTTATCTCTCTTTTTATATTTTAACAACCAACTAAACAAATATTTAAATTTACACTCAAAATTTGTATGTACCTGTTAAATATCTACTTACCTTAAATGTATTTTTCTTATAACGCACCACTTATTACGGATTCATATTGAAAAATAGGAAACTCGACATAATAAACTAGGAAGTACTCAGCTAAGTTTTAAAAATTAAACAAAAAAAACCTTTATTTTGTTTTTTATTAAGGCGCACGAGGTATGGAATTCAAATTGATCGACATTTGTCATTTTATAGCATTGTACAAAAATGCAAAATTTCTGTCAATTGATAATTCATTAGGACACATAAATACTGCCGAGGATGACATTTTTGGACGTTGCACGCTAACTTCTACACTGGATAATAGTACTACCTATTACAAAAAGGTTGTTAACCAAATCATTGAAGTATTTGAACATGGTTCACCAAAAAAACCACTTTTGGATTCTGCTTCTGATTCCGCTTCTACTTCTTCTTCTTCGTAGTTATCGGCCTTCAAGACCATACCGGCAACTAATTCCTATACACTTAGCATTGGTTTTTATAATAAACAAATTATATAAATTGTATAGTAATCTTATGGTTATTATATTTACATTTTTTTTTCATACCACATATTAATATACAAAACAGTTAATTATTGCCCAATAAGTTTTTGTAATAATAAGTAATAAGTAATAATAAGTATAACCATCTGTACAGTGAGTCCATTTACTTAAATATATTAAATGATGTCAGTTTTACTGATAAAAACTCGGTTGGAAATATGTTTGACGGTATTGTCCAGTCGGCTATGGACCGATTTACTAGTACAAAAGTAATCCTTGGCCTCGACGACGACGACGACAAGGTTTCTTTTTCAATACAAGATTTGCATTTCCCAAGCGTTCCACTTTCCACTTTCCGCGACGCCGATGTTTTTGAAAAAACATTTTTGAACAAAATCGCAGAGATAAATGTTGTGTATACCAGTGCCAGTATTAGTTACCATCCCCCAGAAATATATTTGATACGTAACTACTGTTTCTCTAACCGTAAAGAATTCGACTCTGCTCAGAAATTAGTCGTTAACGTTGGCGAGTGTGGTCGAATGATGTTTAGCTTAATGAAGTATATAATCGCCAATAATGCTAGGAAATATATACTCGATTGCACATCGACGTTGTCCGAATACCCATTGTCAGAGGAGCTGGCTGAATGGATTTCACGGAGTAACATAATTGAAACCAGCCAAACGATGCTAAACTACGTAAAAAATGTTATATCTTTTCTGAAAATGGACGATGACGAAGAATTAAACTTCGTCGCCGGCACACTCGATTTGGATCAGTATATCACGTCTGGTGATCCAAATAAGATAAGAGACAACGAAAACGGTATTATTAACATAATGGAAAAATGTATAAAAGTATTATACAAAGATGCTCCATCTCCAAAAGCAATCTCACGTGATCGTTTAGATGTGTTTTACAAAAGCGAGAGAAGCGAGACATTGAATCAATCGGCAAAAGAGCAAGAAATTACAATGAGTGGTATTAATGTAAATGTATACGAAGGCATGCTTGACCGTTTTGTGTTCAAAGCCTACATAGCTAAAATATTTGTTGGTACAAAGTTGGACATCGCTTATTTATTTTTACGTTTCTCAGATAACATTTATCATATAAACATTATAGTTTATCCATGTAAATACACAAACGGCCTATGCTGTAAGAAATAAGTGACGTACACAGTTGCTTTGAACCTCTTTACTATACTTTAATTATCTGCACCTAAGTTTTTCATTTGCACTAATAATTTAAAAATGCCGTTTTTAATGCGGTTTTATGTATTACCATTTGTTTTAAAAACGAATGATCGTTTTCTCAAAAAAAAAAAATGTATTGAAATTTATTTGTGTAATATGCTTAGTTTTTCTTTTAATTGATGTTGTATTTTCCTACAATAAGAAAATTAACTATAAATGTTTATTAATAATTACAATTGAAATAAAAAATATATAATAATATTAAACAATTTAAATTGCCTTTTTTTCTAAATATGATATCTGAAAGATATTTGACGATTGACGATTAAATCATGGATTGATTTTAATCATAAATAAAAATTGTACCACAAATTATTATGGTTATGTATATAAATTGATTTTGGTTTACAACAATTACAAGCATGATTCGAAATTAACGTTGACTAGCGAATATAAGTACTCATAATTTATACTTCATCTATTATTAAGTTATTTGGCCAATGATGTTATTAGCAAAATTATGATATAGGTATAATATTGTCATCCATATCAACTTATTGTTAGGATTTTTGATAGCCCGTCGCGCTATAAAAAAAACTAAAAAAAATTAGACCCATTTTATTTGTGTAAAAAAAATTTTAGTGAAATTTTTTTATCATGATGAATAAACCCAAAAAGTGACACAAATGTTGATTTTTAAAACATTTTTTTGTAATTAAATTTTTTGTGGTGGTTTTCCAAAAGGCATTATTCAGACCGATCGCCGTTAATGTGCTCATTTATGAAGAACGCCAAAATCATTCTCAAAATTATTAAATTGCACTATTAAATCATTTAGTCGCCATAAAATTATGAAAAATATTATAATAGTAATTATTATTATATGTCTCAATTGGACAATGCCATTCGATGGAATTAGTATAAATGATACTAATTAACTGTCCTAATTTTTTCCTGTAATGGTCGTACAGTCTTATTATTTTTATGGGATTTAAATAAATGTATTATACGATTTACATATCTAATGCTTACAGTCTTTTGGACGTGGAATAAAATTTCATAAAAACGATAACTGTATTTTCATTTATGCATACAGTGGAAATGGAAACGCGCATCGAATCACACAAGTGGTTTTCTAAAGCAAAAAAAAAAATCCTATTATTAAATTTATTGTTTACTTTTAAGCTCGGTGTTACTTTGAAACACACGCGCCGATTTGTGAAATTATACAAAAACCTCGTTTTTTAACAATAAAAAATATTTTTTACATTTATCAATGTCTTATTATAAATGAAGTACCCTGTATATTATGAATCCCTGTATACAACCTGTGGTATTTTGGTGACCAGTTGACTTATCGGTTCAAATCCGTTTAATAATTTTTTTTAAATTTCCACTAACTTTTGATGTCGCTGCCATTTAAAATAGTTTTAAATTGAGTGGAACACGAATCGATGAGCATTTTTAAAAATTGCTTAAACTTAACTTTTTTCTTATAAAATTGGACACTCAAACCAAATATTCGCACCATAGCTCAAATATGGGATGAGTACAGTTTTTTATTAAACAGAGATTTATTAAAATCATTTAAAAATTTTCAAAATCTGCTTCACTAATTCCGAGTAAAAGAAAGTTCTAGATGTAGAAACAGAAGCTAGTTCTATCTCTAAAAAATAGATAAAGTAAAATAATAACGCGTACCTACTAGTGATGGGAATCCGAAAATCCGGATTATTCAAAAAAACGCTTTTTAAGTCATTTGAAAATCATATAATTGTTAAATACTATTACAATATAAAGATGTGTATCTAAGTAAAATCTGTTGATAAAAATTAAAAAAAAAAAACTCTTAACTTTGTCCATAAAATGCTTTCTGATTTCGGATTCCGGATTTTCGGATTTCAACAAATCCGAAATTCAAAAGCAGTTTATCTCTTTGGTGTTTTGTTTTATTTTCACATATTTATCAAAAAAATGTTACTTAGATATAGAGCTTTATATTGTAAAATTATTTAACACTTATATGATTTTTAAGTAGCTTAAATAACGTTTTTTTGTGAAGATCCGGATTTTCCGATTCTCATCACTAGTACCTACATTTCATATATATAACACTCATAAAATAAATATCACTGTTGAACCGAATCGGTAAAGTTTTGACTTAAAAGCTAAAGACAAACGGTTTTTCTTTTATTAAATTATTTTTCTTAAAAAGACGGCTTGAACAACATCAAGGACAAATTAAGCTAGAAGTCATTCGGTTTGACTTTATCTACGTGTAATAATAATATTAAGTTTAAAAATCCAGCACAGTAGGGTCGGGGCAAACAACCGTTCTGTAGGCGAAGATAATTCTCAGACAAAATTTCCTCTATTTTATGATTATTTAGGTGTATTTTGACATTAGATAGTACGATACATATAGTAAAAATAATAAATTTAATATAATATAATTGTTTTGTTATGGTTGTCTAATCGTAAAGTGCGCTTGACCATAGGCAATGATCGTTTAACACAATAGGGGAATTACCGTTTAGTTTTAAAGCTTTTGAATATATCTTCAAGCTTGATTATAATAGTTATAGTTATGCACAAAAACATTGGCAATTTTATATATTGTTTTGTCGTTGAGCCATGTATTTTTCTGACTCAGTTGAATACTTGGTTTATCGATGGCAGTAGAAAACATATGTACTCAAACGTTTATGTGCACAAGTGCTGAAATTGTACGTGTCGCGAAAATTTGTTCGTTTTACTATAATCTATTGGCATTTTTGATACCAAAATTTTTCCAATGAAATTGCACATAGAAAAAAACACAAATTTCGACAACCACTCCACTCCCTTCCCGGAGAAGAGGTTGGAAGTTTTTTTATTTTGTTGGCACAATTTTGGGATTTAAGAGCTGAAAATTAGTCTAACACACACCATATAACAACTTAACCTTATCAATGTAATGTACATGAAGTTGGCTCTCCTACATTATCCTATAAATTCCAAATTAGTGTCAACATTTTGTAAATTAGTTTTCAGAATTTGTAAATCATTTTTCCTACAGGTTTTTTTTTATAAATATTATTACTTATAAATTAAAATAAGTATGTTTCATTTTTATTTTCACACGATATAGTTCCATGGCATTTTTAATTACGAATTCCGGATGTTGATCTGTAGGACATACTGATAAAATCAGTGATTTTTTTCTTGTGAATAACATTTAATTTCTTTATTTAAAAAATACCACCAAATTGTATAATATGTGATAGTTCAATAGATATAAAAAAAATATTGATTAAACAATTTACCACCGTTTTAAATGATAAGAAATTGAGACGTACGTGAAGTGCCCCCCCCCCCCGTTGCACGACCAACTCCGGATTATCGCCAATATTTAGCAACCTATTTGCTACTAATTGCAACCGACTTGAAAAAATTTGCAATCTAGTTCCCAACGAGATTTACCAAATTACAAGAGGGGGGTATGATAAATTATGTTTATTAAAAATTGAAAATGTTGAGATAAAAGACTATTGGCATTTTCCAAGTTAAGGTCATTCCCAATTTTTCGATATTTACGGTTTTTGAAGTATTCAAACTAAAACTTTTTGATAGTAGTCATTTGTGAAACATATTTTTCGTCATCGTCCAAGTCATGGACTTCCAGTCTTCTCTGTTTAATAGAAGAGTCTTAATAGAAGAGAAGAATGAGTCTTCATATGTGAATACCCGTTACATCTAGCCATTTCAATCATCACCCCTTCCATTATGTTGGTTATGAAGGGGTTGTGTCTTATTAAGTGTCCCATAAGTTTTCCTCTTCTTGGTCTAATAATGGAAAGCAATACTTTTTTCTCCCCTACTATTTGGAGAATTTCTGCATTGCCCTTCCTTTC